TGTGTTTTCCGGTCAGGTTTCAACATGGAGACGAGAGCTTGGCTGCCTGGAGACGGTCTCAAGAGATGTTTATGGAGTATGAAGAATAGGTGCTTCTACACAATGGTTCCCTCTTTACCATCTGCAAGAGAGAGGAGTCCACCACAGACATGGAGCCTGAGCCTGCCATGATTTCTATGCCAGAGCCGCAGCCAGTGCAAACAATCGTTCCAGAGCCTGAGTCCAGCAAGACGTCTGGAACCGCTGCATGAGCCGGCAACATCGTCTGTCCCCGAAGGAATACTTGGGGAATATGAGGGGATGGAGTGGAGCCCTGTCCCGTCAGCCAAGGAGGATGTAAGTGCACAGAACTTAGCACCCTTAATAATCTTGGAGGAGCATGAAGAGAGCCTTATGCCTGTTTCGTTGCCCTGCACCGAGCCTGTTTCGTAGCCCAACAGCTAGTTATTGAAGTCTTTGATGTTCCTGCCCTGCCTCCCATTCCTACCACCTCTGATGCGTAACAGATTCCTGACCACAGTACAATCCTGAAAATTCTGCCTGTTCCACGTCAGCCAAAAGGGCTGTTCCTGTGTCCAGTATCGACAAGGAAGGCCGTTTATGAACCCCCTGCCTGCACTACCCATTCCTTCAGCCTTGTCTTCACTGCCTCTCATTAGCCATTGGTCTCCTCTTATACTGCCTGCTCTTTTCTCTTTTCTTCGAGGACTGTTAGTTCGCCAACTCAGCCTTGGAGTATTAACCCTATAACTCTTCCCAGACCCTCTGAGCCTGTCATTTTACCTTGGCCAGTCGACAAGTCGGCTCCACCAGGTACCTTGTCCCTCTGGCTTACCTTGGTCAGTAATCACTTTGCCATGGCCATGGACTTACAAGCCTTCGTCTGTGACTTGTCCCTACACCCCTTTGGCTCCGTTGTGCTCCACCTTTCCTTCCGGCTCCATCCCAGTCCTAGGGTGCATCTGCTCTGCCTCTGTCCTCCGCCACCCTGGCTTTGCCTCAGCCGCTCGCCTCCACCTTGGTCTCCAGCACCTTTTGGGTTGGCGGGAAGGAACATGTTACGGCTAATCTGTGTCTGTGTCTGTGTCTGTTTCTGTTTTGGGTGGGTTTGACAAGTTTTAGTTCAGTTTACTGTGAGTTTGTTTCTATGCTTTTTCATTGATTAAGTTATACACCTGTGGCTTGTTTCGTTAATTAGTTTGCCAAACTCTAGGCGTTTCTCAATGTCAAGGAAGGATCCTCGGAAGCCAGAATTTCGAGGATGCTACGTCATCGACATCCGTCGAAGGACTGTTCCAATGTTGAGAATCCTCAGAATTTCAACCAAGGGCGGAGTCCTTAGTTCGGAAAATATCCCATACACAGGAAAGGATGTATATGTGTAGACTTCGCGCTCTCAAATCGTCCACAATCCTATGCGCGCAGCTTTGCTATCTTGTTAAAAAAACATACAAAATGTCGGACGTTAGCGGAGTCAGAGCAATAACGGGGCAATATGCTTTTAAATGTAAGTATATTTCCGCTACCATACATTTGTTTTAACCGTCATATAAGTAAAGTTTAACGTTTAAATGCCAGTACAAATTACTACCGTATTGATATTACAAATTATACAAATTACGTTGATGGCTAACCTGTCATTTTAACAATTGTTAGCTTGTTTGCCGTCACCGGCATTTCTTTTATAAATAACGACTTAAGTTGTACACAGTAATGTAACGTTAATATTATAGGCCTGCCGCCTACCATTCGCAGCGTTATTCATAGCTTTCTCGTCTTTTTTAACAGGGACCAAGGAACAAACGGAGGCGTTTACGTCTCCGTCTAGAAAAAATGCAGTTGTTTACCAGGGGGAGAGACACCGCGGCGAACGTGCACTTGCTAGAATGTTCCATTTACGTGTTCTCTCGAATCCTAAAGAGGATCCTCGCCTAGCCTCTGAAGGAAATGACTTGGAAGGACGCGTCCTGCCAAGGAAGTATCCTTGACATTGAGAAACACCTCCTGTGTTTGTTCTGTTCATTGTCCATTCACATTGCATTTTTTGTTGTTTTGTGTGTTAAAGTTTAAAAAACTGTTAATGCCTGCAATTAGATCCTGCCTCTTACCACTTTTCTGCAACACCATGACACGTAAACAGTTATTATTCAGTTGAAATCAGATCAGTGTGGATTCGTTTCGTTTCAATAACTGTGTAAAGTTCATCAATTATGGAATGAGTTCAATTCATCTACAAAGCAGCTCTGGAGAAAACAGTGATGTCATCATGCAGCTCAGTCCAGTTCTCATCCAATAGTGTCAGTGCAGTCAATCAATAATATTCTAATCTGGTGTTAATTAATAGAAAGACATTCTCTAAATTCTCGTTATATTGTTAGTAGTAAAAAGACATTTTAACCACAGTTATGTAAGTCTTCAGATTTGCTGCTGCTCACTTCAAAAACCTTTAGAGCAGGGGTTGTCAATCTTTTCAGACCCGTCAATCCCTTCATTTATTAATTCCTTTGATTGATAGCATCAAAAGCATCAGAGCGGAGCTAGGAACACCAAATACATTGGTTCTGTTCATATGAAAACTGCACATGCTGATAATATGCATTCTGATATGCACAGCATTCATTTACAACATCTGTTAAATGCAAGTTTAAGCATCATGCTATTGCTAAACTATAGTTCAAACTTTGCCATGTCCTGGATTCATCCCATTACTGTATTGTCCAGTGTTTGAAGCTCAAAACAGGCAAATAAACCAATCAAAGATCATTTTGGTTGCTAATAAAAGTCCAAGGACAGACACAGAGCACGTGATAACAAGATTTCATTTATTAACAAGAACTAACACTGAACAAACTTCTACAGCATTTATTAATCTTATAGCGGATTTTAATCTCAACATTTACTAATACATTTTTAAGATCAAATTGTATCTGTTAACATGCCTAATGCACTGTGAACCAACGTGAAAATGCATTTTTATTAACTGAGATTAACAAAGGAAATAATAAATCCTGTAGGAAGATATAGCTCATTGTTAGTTTGTGTTAGTAAATGCATTAACTAATGTTAACAAATGAGACCTTATTGAAGTGTTACGGAAATTTCTATATATTGGTGCACCCTTTAAAAAAAACTTGGCTCTAGAGGACTTGACCCAGAGCAAGACCTTATGGGGTTTGTCTCTCTGCCAATAAATGACATGAAGGGTTATTTTGTGACCTTGCAAATATTTTTTAGAGCTGTATAAGCCGCCTCATCTGTTTCAGTTTTATAAATTACTGCTGTTTGACAACTTCAAAGAACAGTGGTGGTGGAGTTTAGTCTCTACACATAAACAGACCCACTAATTGAAAAATTAAATTCATGCTGTACTTCATGCAAATCCTTTGTATGATGTAAACTCTATATCCGGCTGTGCATGTTACAAAAACCATATAAAATTTAACACATCTATTTTATGTTTTACTTTTGAAGTAAAAGGTTGAGTTGTGTTTCCTTTCTAAATTAATTTAAGCACATTTTAATCACATTTGTGTTCTCATATATTATGTATAAAATTATGACCACACTATGTGCTTCCAAATCCAAGTGCTTGATTATAATTCCATGTGCCATATATAATAAAATTATTAATTTCAATGTTTGTAAAGACACCTATTACAAAGTGGGGGCAAATCTATTGCTCCGTGTTAGTTAATGCAATGTTAACTGTTGTAAAGTGTTTGTACACTTATTGCTGTAACCTCACTCACAGCCTGTGCGTCAACAATCATATTTCCCCTTGTAAATATTAAATAAATAAAAACTGTCATAATGATGACATCGACATAGAATTTGGCACAATGCAATTTAGCCATTAAGGCTTAAATGTTATTTTATTATAGGATTTATATAATAATTTAGAAGAAGAAGAAGCAGGCAGGACACATCCTGTGCGTAATGGCACTATTTGGCACGCGCAGCGGGTGTTCCGCACATACTGGCCCCGGTAGTGAGAATAAACTGTTGTAATATATGTTAGAGTAATGGATTATATAATCAGATGAAATGATTTATTATATTATAACGATGGACCAAAAAACATAGGACTGTCTACTATATTGAAGAAATTTTGACCAAACCACATCTCGAGCCGACTGATGCGTGATGGGGAACTCGTTGGCCAGTTAACTGTGGTGAACAGAGTGCGCGCATCAGTCTGATATTTCACTGTCAGTGGATTTGCCCAGCAGCCGTTATTCACACTGAGAGAGCGAATGAACCTAGACTGCTGAGACTGACTCGTTTGATTAACAGATTATGGTGAGTAAAACGGAAAAAATTGATTTGGAAACAGGTGATTAGAAACATGAAGCATTTAAGCATTTGTGCGCTCCAAATTATGACAATACATCTTATTGGAAATCTGACCTCAAGTCTGTTATTTGTGATAATTGTTTTAGAAGAATTACAAAAGTTATTTAACGCTTTGGAATGAGCTAATGCTATTTTGTATTTAGGCTACGTTAATCATAGCTATATTTAGGAGATCATTTTGTTTTTATTTCTCAATATGGCTAAACAGGAAACTGTACATGTAACAACAATGAACAATAGTTGACTAAATGTTGTACAAAAGTTAAGCTATAGCCTATATCTTAGAGAGAGAGAAATTGATAGATAGATATATAGATAGATAGATAGATAGATAGATAGATAGATAGATAGATAGATAGATAGATAGATAGATAGATAGATAGATAGACATTTTATATTCTAGTTTTTTTTAACAACAGATTGATCCTAAATTATGCAAAGCTTAAAAATGTTCACAAATGTGCTGTTTCAAGTAAACCAAATAAGTTTGTAGAAAAAGTTACACATATTTTGTTTATAGTGTTGATTTTGGGATCTGGCTACACTGAGACCAAAATGAAGGTCTTATAATTGCACACGTTTGGGTTTCTAAATGACAGTAAATGAGTCTTATCTTGACATTGTTTCATATAAATGAAATCACTTGAATGCTTTGTTTGCAGTGTGAAGTGCCGATCATGTCTTATAATGGGTCAGCTAAAGCTGGATGTTTGGTGTCGAGTGATGATGTGTGTAACGGCAGCTGTACCAAAAGAGAAGTGTCCGTGACCTCGACTGCCATCTCAATGACGGTGGGCATCGTCTCCAACACGCTGGCTCTCTTTATCCTGATCAAAGCCTACCGCAGGTTCAGATTCAAGTCTAAAGCAGCCTTCCTCCTGTTTGCTAGTGGTCTGGTGGTGACTGACTTCTTGGGACACCTGATCAATGGCTCTTTGGCTCTCTACGTTTACGCCTCACAGAAAGACTGGGAAACATTTGACCCTCACAAGTCTCTGTGTGACTTCTTTGGAGTTTGTATGGCGTTCTTCGGCTTGACTCCTCTTCTTCTCGGGAGCTTGATGGCAGTGGAGCGCTGTGTCGGAGTGACCCGTCCTCTCTTCCACACCACGGCGCTGGGGTCCCATCATGTCAAGAGTCTGCTGGGTCTGACCTGGCTCCTAGGTCTGCTGGTGGCCCTGCTGCCCATCCTGTTCCAGCGGTCGTACCAGATGCAGCGTTCACGAAGCTGGTGCTTCTTCCGCCTGCAGGGGCCGCGTGACTGGGTGGATGTCCTTCTGCCCATATTGTTCTCTGTGCTGGGTTTGCTGGCTCTCCTCCTCTCACTAGTGTGCAATACCATGACTTTCCTCACTCTCCTGCGAAGTAGGGTACAACTTGACCGTGATTATCATCGCCATTGTCGTAACACATCACACCATTCTGAGATGGTCTGCCAGCTTTTGGCAATCATGCTGGTTTCCTGTGTGTGCTGGGGGCCAATTTTGGTGAGAAGATGACTCTTATTTCTCACACTGGCTGGTAAATTGCTAAATAAACACTGTGTTATTGCTAAGTAACGAAATTAATAAATAACTGTTCTCTGTTCTCTGTTCAGATACTGAATTTGTGGGATAGGCTATTATAATTCACTAAAAACTACTATTATTATTATTATTATTAGAATATTATAATCATTAATTATGATATTATGTTTTTATTATAATTATAATTACTAAAAATAATAAAAAATAAATAAAATCTAATTATTTGTAGTTATATTATTTACTGGTTAAAGTAAGATTTTTGCAGTAAAGACTGCAATTTATAATTTGTAGGTTTTTGTAATTCAAAACATTATATATATACAGTATATATATATATATATATATATATATATATATATATATATATATATATATATATATATATATATAAAATTATAAAATAATAAATATGTATTTAACAAAAATATAAAAATTGTAAATATATAAATATATACTGTTATATTTTATATTTTAACCTATATACTGTATATATATATATATATATATATATATATACCGGTATATATATATATATACATATTCATGTATTATTATTCATTTTATAAAAATGTAGATGTATTGAATATAAATATATCTTATCTTCAATAGATAAATTATATAATTAAATTTTATATTCAATAAATGTTATTTTATTTAAAATATATAAATTAATTTATATTAAATAAATGCATAAAATTGGTCGAGCATATAAAAAAAATCATTTATTTCTGCTTAGAGCTACACACACAGACGTATAATTTTAGTGACGGATGCTTTTATGATTGAATCCCCAGATAACAGGCATCATCTTCAGCCTACAGGATCACGGTGAGGATCAGGCATCTTACACTCATATGCTGCTGGTTGTACGCATGGCAACATGGAACCAGATCCTCGACCCATGGGTGTACATCCTCCTGCGCAAAGCTGTTTTGAAGAGACTTTTTCTGGTGGCATTGAGACTTTGCAGTCCTCACTTGAAAATGAAACTCCAGTGGCAGGGCATCACTCAGGAGAGCTCCACCATGGAGGTCAGGAGCTCAGTGATCAGCAGACCAGACTTCATCTGCCTGGATGGACCTTTTCCACCAGACACTGCCATTCAATCAGCTCACCCCTCCTGAGCTTCAATGGGGGATACGAGACCTCCATTCACAGATATTGGATCATTACAGAGGGAAAAAAAAAAAACGTTTCTGAGATCCATCCGATGTCTCTTGTAGAGGAAATTTGCATTCATTTAAAAGTTCAGTCTGAGGTCAATCACAGAGAAGTACAATGTGCCAGAAAAGTTCAAATAGGAACCAAAAAGAAGCTAGCAGCATGCATACTGCAACTTAAGACATTTGTTCAAATGGATAGCAGGGTCTATACATGTCTGGTTTTATAGTCTGTTGTGTCAACTAAGTGTGTTTTGAAACGTCGTTAAAAAAAGGTTAAATCAGTTGTATCAGTCATGTTGTATCAGTCATGTTATGCTGTTTTCGTTTGTCTCTCAATTACAGCATAACGTAGCCTAATTAATGTAGCTTTTGCCTTATATTTTGTATATGCTGCAATTTTTTTCAAAAATGTTATATAATGTGTTGTGTAATTTACATATTAAGATATAGTGGGTTTATGTCATCGTGATGTTTGTGTTTTATGATATCTATGTATTTTAGCATTTTTTTATGAAATTGTCTCGATTTAAAAGGTGAACATTTTGCTTGGCTGCTGTAAATGTTTACATGACCAGAGCTGTATATATCTGTGTCAAATATCTATCAAATATAAATATGTCATAATATAGACACCACTACCATATTTAGGACCTATAATGCTTATGTGTTCTGTTGTTAACTTATTATAAAATTTGCTCTGTCTCATGTAAAAGTGGAATAACACAGAATATACTGACATGCATTTATTATTGGGTTATCTTTTCCTAACTGTTAGTAAAAATGTTAAATTATACAAAATATATTAAATTGTGTACTTTATTGTTTGAAAATTTCTATTGGTCATTTTTAGTCAAGGAATAGGGGGAGACATGTTGTAACATGGGGTCAGATACAGTTATTTGACTTGCAAAATCTTAAGTAGCCGTTTCTATAGTTTAATTTGATGCTTTGCATTCATGATAACTTCAAACACATGCTAAAACAGTAAGCTATAAGTTATGACTGTTAGGGGTGAGGGCAGTTATATAACAGTTCATTAAAAAATATTACAACCAACCCCTTATGATGATTCTGATCCCCATCACATCCCCTGTTAAGACAAAAACATATGAGTGTTTTGTTTCATATTGAGGGATTTGTGGGATCATATTTATACGCATGTCTTATCGGACAAAAACATTGACTGTCTCAATTGAGCACATACAAAAAAAAAAAGTTGTGCACATTTGTAGAATTATGTGCATCTAGGAGTTTCCATCCATCGGTTTTTATGTGATATCCCCAAATTCACATAAAATAGGCAGATGGCAACATGGCTAGTAGTGACTGACTGTTATGTGACAAGAATACAGACAAACACACACACACAGCAATTGGTTTTGTGCTAAATGTACAGTCCTTAAAGAAATACAATACAATGTTTTTTGTTACTTTAAATTGTTCGCTTTATTCAAAACTGATCATTCTTTGTTCTTAAAACACTTTGATTGTGTGGATCTTATTTCAGCAAATTGGCTCTCATTCATTGTTGCGTCCATCCCCAGCTGTGTTGCAACTTGTTGTGGGTAACGGAACTCTTTGTGTTTGACATTAACTCACATTATCTGTGATTGTGTGTGTCCAAGAGCGTTATATTTGTAGCAGGTACCATGTATTAATCTTTGGAGATCTAAAACAACCACTGAGTTACCAATGCTGAAACAAAAGTTCCTTTCATCCCCGGTCTCTAAAGCACACGCAGGTATACTTTTATAATTTCATTTTTTTAATAAAAGGCATGCAGTTTATTGGGCTTTGCATGGAATATCTTTCGGCAGATGTCTACATTCAACAAGTTCATGCTTGTTTTAGCCATAGGTTTTAGCTTTACGTTTCCATTATTTAAGCCCGAGCCGCTAGGAGGCAGCATCACCGCTGTTCGCCATTACAACAACAAAAACAACGTGACGTCTTCTTTAGTCTGACCACTTCCGCCCTGCTCATTCAACGCATGCTTCTCTGAGCAGCTGAGTTTATCAGGTCAGTAATGAACCCCGTTCTGTGTTTACTTGAAATATATTACAACCACTATGTCTTCGCTGTAAGCGTTATATGTGTTAAAGTCGCTCATTGCCGTGTGATTGAGATGTGTGTGCATGTGTGTTACGGTGGAGTGGTGCACTCACTCAGATTATGCACCGTCAGGTTTTGTCTTTATTCTCCATCACTGCGTATGCCATCACGTCATGTGTTAGGGACAGAGACAATATTGAAGATAGAGAAGCCTGGAATATTCCTCAAACTGACGAGTAAGCGTTTTTAAACGCGATGCCCTGTCTCATGCCGTAATTTTCCCATCTCAACTAAAGGGCTTTGTAGCTTCCTGACAGGCTTATCGGCAGCAATTCTCTCTGTAAGGACCCTGCAACTCTGAAAGGAAGAGTAGTTTCACAATATATTGTGTGTTTGTGTATTTAGTTATGGAGCTTTATGTGTAGTTTATCTTTTGTGTTGCGTGCCATTTGTAAAATTTTGTATACGAGTAACTAATTATATTAATTGTAAGATATCTTTTAGATAATGAAATGAAAAGTTTTATATATATATATATATATATATATATATATATATATATATATATATATATATATATACATGTATATGTGTGTGTAAATATATGTGATATAAAATATTAGTCAGTAATCACTTTAATCGTCTTGGAGTTTCCATTCATTCATTTTATTATTTTATTTAACTTAAAATCTTAAGTCATGGAAATTTCACTTTTATGATGTGCCATTTTTAATGTGCTCTATGAAATTATCATGTGCTATAGTTTAAAAAGAATATAAGATGGAGAAATTATAGTAAAATATTTTTGTCTTTTTTCGCAAATGTTTGTGCTCCCCTCCCCTGAGAAATTTTGTTCGCTCCCAGATGTATTGCATTCCCCTAAAGAAATTGTGCCTTAACTCGCAAAACGTATCTTTGCAAGCTTCTTTATGAGCGAACGCATTCTTTGTAACTTAAATGTGAATGCAAATTTTCTTGGGGATCCACGAAAACGCAAAAGTTTTACAGGCAAACGTTTTGTAGGCTTCATACCGCACATGTTTTTGAGTGTTTTTAAACATGATTAAATGTGCTGTCTAATTTTTTTATTAGAAAAATGTTTATTTATTTGTTTGTTTCTTTGGTGGTGGTCTAGTGATGATAGCCATTTAGCCTGCAGGGGAAATCCAAACTAAACTAAATATGCAGTCATTTATTTATTTTTTGGGCAAAATTGATACTTAACTCATCACCTTGTATTTTAGTTACAACTAAACATTTTGGTAAATATCCAGTGATGTGAGGGTAAATGGACGATAGATTTTTCATTTTATAGCGAAAAGTGGATGGATCTTATAGCATTTGAATAATGAAGCATCTGTTTGTTGGAAGTCAACAAACCCGTCTAAACCTTCAATGTGGTTATGTGACCTTGTGTCATATAAAAAAAAAAAATATAAAAAAAAAAATGAATGATAGGATCTGTCCAAAACTTTTATAGGACTTGGAAACCCATGATTGCATATTTTGAGAAGATGAAGACTTTCCACCTTAAAGGATTAGTTCACCTCAAAATGAAAATTTCCTGATAATTTACTCACCCCAATGCCATCCGAGATGTTCATGTTCTGTCTTTCTTCAGTGGAAAAGAAATGACGTTTTTTGAGGAAAACATTTTAGGATTTTTCTCCACACAATGGACTTCAACGGTAACCAAATTGTTGAAGTCCAAATCAATGCAGTTTCAAAGGGGTTTGAAGTGCTTCAAATGGCTCTGCACGATCCCAGCTGAGGAATAGGGTCTTATCTAGCGAAACGCTAGGTAATTTTATAAAAATGTATATACTTTTTAACCACAATTTTTCGTCTTGTGCTGGTCTGCGACGCGCCTGGCATTACGTAATCACGTTGGAAAGGTCACGCTGGACGTAGTTGGAAGTATTCCTCAGCTGGGATCGTGCAGAGCCATTTGAAGCACTTCAAACCCCTTTGAAACTGCATTGATTTGGACTTCAACAATTTGGTTACCGTTGAAGTCCATTGTGTGGAGAAAAATCCTGAAATGTTTTTTTCCACTGAAGAAAGAAAGACATGAACATCTTGGATGGCATTGGGGTGAGTAAATTATCAGGAAATTTTCATTTTGAGGTGAACTAATCCTTTAATTGATCATTATAACTACTTTGGTAGAGACTGATTGATTCAAGCATGATCACCTGTGTTGTGCTTGATTTTATATGTACAGACCATGAATATGTCAAAGATTTGATTTGTATTTATGTATTTTTTCTTCTTTTTTTTTTTTTCTTGGGAGGATATTATGTTCATTTGTAAACGTGTGCATTGTCTTAAAGTTTATTAACCTATTTTGCATTTTTATTTATTTATTATTACAACTGTTCTTATTGTTATATTAACATTTGTATGTATGGTTAATTATTTGGCGGAAGGGGTTATTGTGGGTGGGGAGTTCTAACTTTAATTGTATGAAACTTAAAAAAAAAAGTTTAAATAAATAAAAAATGAAGCATCTGTTTGTTACAGAAGTCAGTATGAACCAAGAGAAATTAGCTAAACTTCAAGCCCAGGTCCGGATAGGGGGCAAGGTAAGAAGTATTGTCAATGAAACCTGAACATTAATGATTTTGGACATTTATTATAGTGTTGCTGTTTTTTCCCCCCTGTCTTTACTCAGTCTTGATTTGTTTCCTATAGGGCACTGCACGCAGGAAGAAGAAGGTGGTGCACAGAACAGCAACAGCTGATGACAAGAAACTCCAGAGTTCATTAAAAAAGCTTGCTGTCAATAATATAGCTGGCATTGAAGAGGTAGAGCAGCAGCTCTCCAGTTTTCTTTTCTCATTCAGTCCCGTTCAGAGAACATTGAGAATTTGATCTTGTTTTTACAGGTGAATATGATTAAAGATGATGGCACAGTCATTCACTTCAATAACCCCAAAGTGCAGGCGTCTCTGTCTGCCAATACGTTCGCCATCACGGGCCACGCAGAGACCAAACAGCTCACGGAAATGCTCCCAGGAATCCTCAGTCAGCTCGGCGCTGACAGTCTCACGAGTCTGCGCAAACTCGCCGAGCAGTTCCCCAGACAGGGTGAGTAAAGAGGTGCTTTTGAAATATGGGCGAATTTACAGTTTAGTGTAGACACTGACGTTGTCGTTTCATTTCAAGTTCTCGACAACAAAGCTCCGAAAGCAGAAGATATCGATGAAGAAGATGATGATGTCCCAGGTATGAAGTTTTGAAGTGTTTCTTTTGATCAAGCGGTAAATGGTAAGATGCCGTTTTAAATCATTCTATTCTCTCTTCACAGATCTTGTAGAGAACTTCGACGAGGCTTCAAAGAATGAGGCAAACTGATCATTGGACCTTCAGTAACTCCTGTTCAGGACAAAGTCTCCTGCAGTATTTTTAAATTAGAGTGACAGACATATCATTTCAACACTATCCAGTGAAACCAGAGACTTTTATATCATGAATTGGCTGTTCCAGATCCATCCCTGACCTTTCTCCTGCATTTATACTGTAAGACTGATGGTTACATGGTTATAAATCTTAACCACAATGCTAGTTGAAATGCTAGTTTTGACGGTTGTGTCTTAATTTTTTTTTTTTTTTCTGTTAATTAAATAAAAATAATACTCATAAACCTTTTCTATATGGTGCTTTGCTTTTCTTATAGAAGCTTGAAGAGATTTGACAGTAAAATTATTTTCCCCTTTGAATTGCTAAACAGGTTATGCCAAAACACTATTGGCGCTTTTCCACTGCTGGTACGGCTCGGCTCGGCGCGGCACGGTTCGGCTCGCTTCGCTTTTCCACTGCGTGGTACGACTCGGCTCAGCACGGCGCGGTTCGCTTTAGCTCGGTTTGCTTTTCCACTGCAGTTAGTACCGCTTCAAAGTGGGTGGGATTATAGTCGGACCGTTATAGTTTATCCGCTCCTCGGCAACCAACGAGACAAACGTCTGCACTTCGTCCACTGACCACGATTCAGCCATTTCTTTTTTATGGAAGTTTTCTTTCTTTCTTTTTTCTTCAAGCAAGTCAAGCAAGTAGTTTTAAAACAGGTGCTACAGCGGTGGCTGTTGTCTACTGGCTATTTAAATCTAGTGGGTTTAGTGTCTCGTGTCGCAAATACAATGACGCTGATAGTGACGATTCTGTCTGTCTGACCAATCAGTGATCTGTAGTGTTTTCACGTCACATTTTAGTATCGGTACGGTACGCTTGGAACCTCAACAGACCAGGTACCATTTAAAGTGAGCCGAAGCGAGCCGAGCCGTACCGTACCGTACCATGCAGTGGAAATGCGCCATAAGTGAGCCGTACCGAACCGAGCCGTACTGTACCATGCAGTGGAAAAGCGCCAAAGCGTGCCATACCGAACCGAACCGTACCGTTCCATGCAGTGGAAAAGCGCCATATCGCTACTACTTTTGGCCAAAATGGTGTTGTACAATTAATAATATACTATGTAGCCTATTTAAATGTCATGATTTTTTTATTTATTTTTTATGATGATTACAGCATGACAATCAAGTGGAAACTGCAAATATATATTAAATGTATTTGCAAAGTCCTAAACTGAGAATAAAGATGGTTAAAGTGTCACATGCCGATATTCACACCACAGCTGCTACTTCCGGTGATACTGTAAAGGAAAAATAGTTCATTGTCCAGTTTAGAGATGACAGAAGTCACTTTGAAACCAAGCAATTTTCTCTTGGTAAACGCAGAGAAGTTGTGTGACCAGCCCGGTGCAAAATCTGGAAATCTTTCGCCCTCTTGAGAAATTCCAGATTGCTTGGATTTCTATTGAAACGACTGGATTTCCGGTAAATGCAACCACACTTTAAACAGGATATTTTCTAATTTGGAATTCATTTGAGAATATGAGAAGCATCTATTTCGTGAAGGCTGTTAACCAAAAACATTGTTTCCTTACAGGCTTTATTTGTTTATTAATTTGCAATTATCAGAACATGAATGGTGAGTTAAAATACGATCACATTCACCGATGTTCGGCGAATTTTCGCGGGCGCATCCAGAAATTCAAAAGGAATCCACGCAATCGGTAAAAACTTTCCCACGCAGATTTCGCAAAGTGGATAATCGGCGCGTAGCAGCAGAAAGCTGGTTTGAAAGTGACTTTACTTTTCTTTTCTGTGACTTTTACCTGCGACATTTCGCCAATGTCACCGCACCTTTAAGGTTGGTAATATTGTAATAATAAAATTAAAATATAATATCTGCTATAATGAGACCTAGCTGTCATCATATAGGCTAGTCTACCCAAGTAAAGCAAGAGATGGGCAATATTAATAATTAAGAAAAAGAGGAGATAACTCGTCAGTGTGCACGTTTGACTTCTCAAGTGATTGCGACGCCCCTGTGAACGCGCGTTCATCTCGACCGCCGCTAGCCTCGCGCAGACAGACCTCTGATGGCGAGCACAAGTCAACAGCACACTGAGGTGGCGATGGGATGCAGAGATCCTGGTAAATATACTTACATACATTCGTTATATTTATTCATTCGATGTGTCAGTATCGAGCGCTACATAATCTCTATAATTCCTGAGGGAGTTTTCGGGGTTTTATTCTGAGCTGATGACTGTATAAGTGAGGATGTGGTAATTGGCTCTTGTTGACGGTACTGTGTCGCATTGCTGTAGTCACTCACCAGCAGCCACAGACGAGAGTGATGTGCATCAGCCATGAACACATGCGTTTGCTAACCAGAAGAGATTCTGAATCACAGCCACCACTGCACCGTGTGTGTCCATGTCAAAGGCGTGAAGATCTTGTGTGGAGGTTGCGGCGGCTTGTCTGCAATGCAGTGCTGAGAGAATTACCAAACGCACATTCAGTCATTCCTGCGGTTACAGATGCTACAATAACTTTTTGGAAAACAATTTCACATTAGACGGAGATTACAGAACTAGAATGTTTTGAGACTTTAGTGACGTGCAGACTTGAACGCTCACACTGCAAACGCGCGGCGCGTTCTAGTGTGTCGCGTCGCGGTGCTGGTGGTGTAGTTTGGGGTGAGGCGACAAACTGGCTCTAAATCAGAAAGCAATGCTGTTCAGCACTTTTTTGCAGCGGTTGTTTTATTTATGTCTGTGAATTTTTATATTGAATACACATTGAAATGTGTTAGTGTTTGGATTGAGTGTTTAAATGTATCATTGTGAATATGTATCTGCATACACCCATGCAGACTAGTCATTCTGCCCACTCAGCAAATCCTCACTGTGAAATAGTGATGCAGGACCTGTGTCTGAACACCGTTCAAATCCTGTTTTCTAAATGCATGTTATATAGCCTACCTAATTGTAAACAATTCATCCGTGCATATGTTTTATCTTAAAAGAGAAAAGTGACCATGTAAAGTCTAATCAAAATTTTACAACTGGATCGTCCGGTGTTCTCTCTGGTGTATGCAGAATACATTCATAATGATGCATTTGAACGCAATTAAGTATGCAGGACTTCTTCAATCATTTAGTCCCCTTAAAATCCTCCACTTTTTGAGTGCAACACCAACATCTCAAAATCCAATCAAGAACCAATGAAAATCCCCACTCTATTTTTTTTCTCTCTCTCAATAAACTGTTACACTCAGGACCTCATGTAACCGTTGTTGTTATTAGTAGTTGTTTTTGTTATTTTTTATTTTACTTAATTTTTTTCTATTTTGTTATTTTTCCTCTGTGTACTAAAAAGGAAAAGCTGTTAAAAAAAATTAAGTTTAAAAATAAATATTTCATTTGGCTGTACGACACTATATGGAAGAAAAGATCGCTACTTATGTTTCATCATGACTTTAATACAATAAGTCATTCCCTTTTTACCTTTTAACCACGTAAAGCCTGGCATATGAAATAAAATTCAGAAAAATCTTTGTTTTTAAATGGAAGAGTTTATTGTACCTTTAGACAAAATCTTAAATGTTTAAAAATAAAATAGCTTTCTTTTTTTATTGAGTATCATATTTTATACATCAGGCATTTATGGCTCATATAGTATTGGTACAGTTTGCTGTAGATAATAAAGTTTATCATATAGATAAAGGGAGAATTAGTTGTTTTTTATTTTATTTAGATTTTAAAAAAATATATTTCACTGTAATCTTTTTTTAGTAACTTAAAAAAAAAACTCTTATAAAGCTCACGACCGGGAAGGAAAAAACACCTTAATTTTATTCAGAGGCCGAACTGAGCAAAAATAATATTCGTAAGATATTTAAATGCTTATTTTTATGATCGAAGGTCTGTCGTTTTTATTGTGGGGGATTATAATACATACAACATATATATATATTTTTTAATATTTCCAACAATATAAAAGTTATTCTTATGTTTACTTTATAAAAATCAATAATGATTTCACAGCAAAAGACATGTGTACCACGACCTGAAAGTGGACATTTTTACTAATATACTAAAAGGCCTTTTACTTGTTTTAAAAATATATTGATCAAACAGAAGTTATGCAGTAGATTGTGTATAACTGGCATTTTAGCAACGTTTTGATCATGTTGATAATTTAAAAGAAACTTGTAATATAAAATATGATAGGCTTTATAGTGTTAAAATAGAGACCAAGCAGTCCTGACAAATCCACTGACCTGCTGGGAATTAATACATCTGACTCATCTTTTGGCAGGACTTTGTGCAGGCCATGTCGTGATGGTTTGAGGATAAAACACAGCGCGGGGTGGGCTAAAATATGATCAGCAACCCTCTCGCGTTGAGTTCCCTGCACTGAGACTATGAGGCAAGCAGTGACCGCCACTCTGTCTGTGTGGGGCGAGAGGCGATTCGGGTACTCCACCCTCAAGGACTCCAGCGAGTCTCTGCTAGACGAGCGCAAGCTGAGGCCTGGTCTGAAAGAGGACTCTGTCATTGAAGAGAAAGAGCGGGCGGAGAATGAGCAGGAGCACCTGGAGGCTGTGCTGGGACTCCCATCGTCCCCTGTGGAGGACACTGAGAGCGCGGAGCCCTCAGACTCTACGCTGGAGTCATGCCAGGACCGTAAGAAGAGCGGCTCTAAGAACGCTGACTCTGCGGAGAGGAAGGGTTCTCTAGGTGCTCTGCCTGTGCAGCGCTGCAGTTCCCTGGGCACTACGGCCCCTCAGTGGGTCCCTGATTCTCAAGCACCAGCATGCATGAAATGTGGATCCAAATTCTCCTTCACCAAAAGACGTCATCACTGCAGAGCATGTGGGAAGGTGAGAGATGCATGCGATTCTGTGACCAAATTGTTGTTTACCTTCAAAACGTGAAAAGTCTGTTTGGTTTGCAGGTTTTTTGTGTGGTTTGCTGTGACCTGAGATTTAAGCTGACTCATCTCGGTGGGAAAGAGGGGCGAGTCTGTGTCACCTGTCATTCAACTTTGATTAGCCGTGAGTGATGTGGTGGATTCCGCTACTTATGTGCTTATGTGCTGTTATTACACATTAATTACAGTGTTATAATGATGTAATTTTACCAGGGACTCTTCGCAAGGACCAAAAGAAGGTTTGGTTTGCAGATAATCTCCTTCCCCAGTCTGAGAGTAGAAGTGCCAACAGCTCTCCCATTCACAGGAGTGTGTCTCACACACAGAGGACTGAGCTCGCTCAGGCGGTATGACGGGAGATCTTTCTGCTTATTTTATTTATTCCTTTTAATTTTTTCAAAACACTCTTACAATGACCCTATTTAGATTTTTATTTTATTCTTATTTTTAATTTAATACCTTAATCCCTGTAATCTTTGTTCAGTAACTTTAAAAACACTCTTATAATAATTTTGAGATTATTTTAATATTATTTTAGTATTAGTATTTATCTTAATATGTGCTTTTTCAAGGGGAAATTAATTAAATTACAGTAAGTAATTACTTAGTAATGAGTTCCACCCAATAATCCTTATAAGGACATAAAATAGAGGATATTTTGTTTTATTTGAAATATTTTTGTTTTATATATATCTTGAAATAAACTTTAGAAAAAAGCTTTTCTACCTCATAGCACAGTTATTTTATGTATAGTTGTATTTATTTATTTGCTGTAGGAAGTGACTGACATTAGAGCAGGAGATGAGGTCAGAGGTCTTAATAGCAACTCCACAAAACCCACTCCACCAAAGGACCTTCCGCCTATTCTGACATCAACAGGGGTCAAAGGAGGTATGAATGTGTCCACACACTCACTGCTAATAAAGACATTAGCTCTAGCTTAAATTAGGCTTAAAGGTGACATCTTATGCCCCTTATTCACAAGATTTTAGGGTGTGACCAAAATCGTGCTGTTTTTGTGTGTCCCTTTAAATGCAAATGAGTTGCTGCTCCCCGCCTTTGTTCAGATCCTTTACGCGAGCTTCGGATACTCCAGCAGTAACAAACGCGAATTTCAGTCAAATTTCCGAAAAAACCCTTAGTGCAGCCTTACAGAGAGACTCAGGAAGAGGTTGTAACTTTTAGACTGCACCTGGCCGTTTCTGAATGGTTAGATGGATGTAGTTGTTGATTAATCTCATCACTTGCATGTACTGTCATGTTTAACTTTTACACAACTTGACACCGTTCCCTGATGGTCTTTACTCAGGGGCGGCGCCAGATAATTTTTAACGCAGGTGCTGAGGGGGTGCTAGATCATTGACAGGGGGAGCTGCGCAATTAGCCTATATATATATATATATATATATATATATATATATATATATATATATATATATATATATATATATATATATACACACACACACTCACACACACACTATTATTTAAATGAGCAAAATTTATGATGAGATGTGCCCCAGTTCACGTGCAATGCAATCGCGCCCGCGCCTCCTTATCTTTATCATATTGTCTGCTATATGTGCTTCTTATTTAGGCTATTATACCCAGTCAATTGGTTGATGAAAAATTGATTAAAATTAAGATACAATTTATACAAAACGAAATTCACTTTAAAAAAGGCTTTCTACAAAACAAAACTTAATTTATACTTAACATAAAAAAATAAAAATAAAAAACTTTTTCCTTTAAATCCTGCTTGTCTGGCTTATGCTACTCCGAGCAATGTCCGAACTTGGTATTTTGAGCATGCACTTCTTGCATTGTTTTTGCCTTTTCACGATGACTCGCTTGATTTAGTCCTCAGTTGAGTCGCTTTGGATAAAAGCGTCTGCTAAAATAAATGACTAAATGTAAATGTGTAAATGTAAATTTAATGGTCAAAATCATGTCTGACCCATCATATCTTCCGATATATCGCGCATCTTACTCATGCTGTTCAATTTTCATAATCAGCATATGTAAAAAAAAACAAAAAAAAAACATTATAATATTTTAACAAAAATGAAATTAAATGCGCTTATTTAATGGCTACAACACACATATAGTGGGCCTGACTCTCTAAATATTGAAACAATTAACATTAACAATGCTGAAGTGCAGTTAATTAATAGTAAATGTTAACTTATCTAATTAAGTGTTACCGATTTTTTATACACCGATTCAGAGGTCTCGTGAGTTCAGTGTTGGACATGTCAGTTGTTTTAACTATTCATTAAAGTGAATGGTTAAAATGAGTCATTCGTTTGCGAATCGGACGTGTCATTAGTGGACGTCTACGGCACGCTTGTGATTATCTCGGCAGTTTAGGACATCGCACAAGATTTGCGTCAAAACAGAAAACATTTAATCATTGGAGTTTAGGTCAGCTGAATGGGCGGAACGCTTTTTAGAGACGATAAGCTAGGCAACGTGTTTTTTTTTTAGCACAATTCACACACCGCGGTAATTCAGGAGAACAAATCTCCAAATGCTACACGTGAAACTGCGGTCTTCCGACCTTTTACTATCGTGTCAATTGATTTAGATTAATATGCGCGAGAAGTGTTTGAAGACGTGAGAGTGCGCTCGCGCGGCCGGTGCTCTCTCTCTCTCTGCTCGTGATGCGCCCAAGGGGGTAATCCATCGACCGGAAGTTGAAGCCGGCCAGGTGCCGCCATGTTGTAGCAGAACTTCACTTGCGTTAGCATTTCCATTGACTCCCATTCATTTTGGCGTCACTTTGACAGCGAATAACTTTACATCTGAGGCGTTTAAAGACTCCATTTGTCCATTATTTATTTCTAAAGAAACACGACAATGTATAAAGTGCTCCATTACCTTCTATGTTACATTATGGCCCCGTAGAAACAGTTTTAGTAAAAATAGGCTAACGATTGCGTCATAACCACTCGACTCTCTGTCGCGCTGTACAGAAATTACCGTACAGACAGGAGGAGAAGCTCGCAGGCAATCGGGGGGACGTCCCGTCAAGAGAGAAGCCCATAGATAATGAGTCCATAAAAGCAACGGAATACTTACTCCTGCTCACTCACGATAAAGGACTCTTTGCTCAAGTTCCCCGTCTCTGCAAGATTAACGTTGGCAATTTTTACGCACAGCTACTAGAAGATTAACGTCTGTCAGACAGGTTGCTCACGTCATCAAGCTTAGTTTGAGTCGGTTTGAGTCTGCGCGTCAGGAACGGAAGTGCTCAGAAATCGCTAAAAATGGGCTTCAACTGTCTCAACTGAGTTCCAATGAGATGGCTCTGTCCACTTCTTATACTGTCTATGGATGCGCCCTGTCAAGCGCAGCAGTCATTCTATTCTACATCACTCACCGATCAAAAAAGGCTTTGGCGGGACAGAAATGTGCCGTTATGTCGAAATACCGAGATATTATATTGAAATAACGACTTAATATCTCGAAATAACATATATTTGAATATAATTGATTCCAGACATTATTTTAGGGGGTGCTATCGGGGTGCTTTGGTCTTTCTTGGGGGTGCTGAAGCACCTGCTAGCCCCTCCGTAGCGCCGCCCATGTCTTTATTAGACAGCTGTGACATTTGTTGGTGAAATAGTGTTCTGTGCAGCAAACGACAGAAAAGTTTGCATGCTTTGCTCGAACTTTTGCCATTGCGTTAGAACTGGTTACACTGTTGTCGCTTGCGTAAACCAAATTGGTTTACGCTGTGGGTGGAAACGTGGTAATTAATGGGGAGCGAAACGTCAGAAGGGGAGCGAAATCAGATCGGCTTAAGTTTTGAAATGCTTGCAGAGAAAGGCTTTCCAAAACAAAGTCGCTGGGTTGTCACTTTTCACGTTTTCAGGGTTGGTAGATGCACAGGGGACCCTATTATAGCACTTAAACACGGAAAAAGTCAGATTTTCATGATATGTCCCCTTTAAAGGGATAATTTACCCCAAAATGAAAATCATTTCCCTATGGCTGCCCCCTAATATTCGACTAATTGGTATTCGACTAGAAGAGGCTTAGTTGACCAAACATTTTATTAGTTAGTTGCAGAAAAAAAACCTTGTGGCTAAGTTATGCAGTCCTTGAGGGACAGATCGTTAACGGTAGGTTCTTTTGGTAATTACGGGCAGGAAATGGTTATGACGGACAGGAAATCCAAACGTTCACCCATCATCCATCGACCGCAAATATGACTTATCATTTGTGTATGGCTTATCAAGTAACTTGCCCGATTGCTCTAACGTCAACCTAATTAAATGTGCGCTGCTATTATTAGGCGCATGTGTGTGTTTGTGCGGAGTGTGGAAGCTAAAGTATAACGCGTTTTACTGCATGAAATGGAAGTGCGATCACTTGCATTTTTTCCTGATAACAATAAATATTAATAATAATAAATCGTATTTCTAATGCGCCTTTCTCAGACTCAGCGCTACAGCATGTACATAAAATAAATCAAACAAGGAGGAAAAAAATACATATCAAAAAATACACAGTAATAAATTATAAATGAAAAGCTTGACTAAAAAGATGCGTCTTAAGAAGTTTCTTAAAACAATCCACAGAAGCAGCATTCCTAATAGATGCAGGTAACGAGTTCCATAACTTAGGTGCATTAAAGGGATACTCCACTTTTTTTGGAAATAGGCTCATTTTACAACTCCCCCAGAGTTAAACTGTTGAGTTTTACCGTTTTTGAATCCATTAGCATAGCTTAGCATACATCATTGGAGTGGACAAGACCATTAGCATTTCTAAAAAAAAAATGACCAAAGAGTTCCGATATTTTTCCTATTTAAAACTTGACTCTTCTGTAGTTACATCGTGCACTAAGACCGACGGAAAATGTAAAGTTGCGATTTTCTAGGCTGATATGGCTAGGAACTATACTCTCATTCCTGCGTAATAATCAAGAAACTTCACTGCCGTACCATGAGAGCAGCAGGCGTAATATGACATGACGCAGCGCCTGAAAATAGTTCCGTTGTGTTGACGGAAGGTGGCCTATTTTCAGGCGCTGCGTCATATCATTACGCCTGCTGCTCTCATGGTACGGCAGTGAAGTTTCTTGATTATTACGCAGGAATGAGAGTATAGTTCCTAGCCATATCAGCCTAGAAAATCGCAACTTTACATTTTCCGCCGGTCTTAGTGCACGATGTAACTACAGAAGAGTCAAGTTTTAAATAGGAAAAATATCGAAACTCTTTGGTCATTTTTTTTTTTAGAAATGCTAATGGTCTTGTCCACTCCAATGATGTATGCTAAGCTATGCTAAAAGTGGTACCGCCAGAACCAGAGATCGGCTGAATGGATTCAAAAACGGTAAAAACTCAACAGTTTAACTCTGGGGGAGTTGTAAAATGAGCCTATTTCCAAAAAAAGTGGAGTATCCCTTTAAGTTAATGTGGATACCCCCCCCCCCCCCCCCCCATGCCATGGATAAGCCTCTCTGGATCAGGCCTAGAGAGAAAGGGCAGATGGAAAAAAAGCAACCTTTGTTTAAGGTTAAAAAGTCAGCTGAGCATCAAAAATCACGCCCAAGTTATGCACCTGGCCAGATGGGGTTAGAGTATGGTCTAATGAAAGTTTAAAATCATTATACTTAGTGATATTAGATTTAATGCCAATGAGTAAAATTTCAGTTTTGGAACAATTAAGTTTAAGAAAGTTGTTTTTCACCCACGCCTTGATTTCCAACAAAGAGTCGAAGAGGAAGAATTGAGATCAGGCTGAGGGCTAATATAAATCTGGGTGTCGTCCGCATAACAGTGATAGCTCAGGCCATCCTTCTGAATGATCTGCCCAAGAGGCAGCATATAAAACAGGACCCAAAACTGACCCCTGAGGGACACCCTGAGACAAAGGCACTGTCGGAGATCTGTTAGGTTCAAGGTTCAATTTATTTATAGAGCACATAATAATACAACCAGAGTTGACCACAGTGCTGTACATAGGAGAAAATAACAATCAGAAAATCACAGTTAAATTCTACGCATTGCCATGGACACCTCAACATCCAAGCGGCGGCAATAAAAACCTATTACACCAGCACATACTCATGGACAATCAAATGCCAAAGTGAAAAAGTAAGTTTTTAAATGACCTTTAAACAAAGTAATAGAGGAACATTCCCTAATATAACGGGGTAGACAATTCCACAACCTGGGGGCAACCGCTGTAAAGGCGTGGTCTCCTCTCAATTTCCTGTACGTGCACGGGACCACCAGGAGATTTGTTGATTCCGAGCACAATGCTCTTTTTGGTTTATGTACCCGGATAAGATCAGCTATATAAGCTGTTAGTACCCAGGTAAACAAATTTAGCCTGACTGCGTCAGACTTCGTACTTCCGCTCTATTTCAGTTCGCTTCTGTACTCAGTCTGAGACATCGACATGTATCTCAGTTTTCCTCCGGCCTGAAAACAGCCGGCCAATCAACGAACAGAGGGCGGGCTGAGAGCCGTGACGTAGACGCTAAGCACCGAGTTTAAGATTGTATTTTAGGTTAGGGAAAACGACCGCGGATATGGAGACACGGGATGCAATTCGCTCTGTTGTGGAGAATATTCACGGCATTCGCAAACTGAAGCCCGAACAAAAGAGTGTTTGTTAAACATTTTGAATGCAGGTCATGTTGTGGCCCTACTCCCGACAGGTTTTGGGAAAAGTTTAATTTATCAACTATTACCGATCGTCAGGGAGAAACTGGGCAGGCCAAAGGCCAGGAAGGCGATTTGTGATTGTGTCCCCCTTGGTTGCACTCATGGAGGATCAGGTTAAGGAGGCAGCAAAACTCGGTCAGCCATGTTCACTCCTGTATTTCGCTCGATGGTTTCGTTTTCGCATCATACACGTTTACAGTGGAAGTTCGATGCGGCTGAGCTGGTGAATAACACGCGTGATAACCAAACGTTATGTGATTGGCTTACGGGTAACCAATGATTTTATACTTCAGACAAGCCCCCCCCCCCCCCCCCCGCCGCGAGAAAGAAAACACTTTTCAATTATGCCATGCCAGACTCTGTCTACGAAGCAAAGCGAAGTAGCAGAGTTTGGTATTACCAGGCTAAAACAAATTGGGAGCGATCTGAGAGGTAAGATTTAAACCAGTTCAACACCGTACCTGACACCTATGCAATCTGTCCAATAATATGCTGTGACATATGGTATCGAATGAAGCATTAAGATCTAACAGAAGAAACAACTTAAAATACTCCTTCGTTTTTGGTAATACATCATACAAAACTACTAAAGGCTCTACTTTTCTTTGTTTAAACTCACAATAACAAGAAAACGTTGTGTCTTTGTAAAAATAAATCCAACATCTCAGTGTCAGTCTATACTTGCCTCACAGACATGAGAAATATATCTATAGAAAGCTTGAAATGTCAAGTGATTGTCAAGCAATTCAAGTGGTAAACAAATATTCTCAGATTATGTAATCCGGATGAAACGTGCATATACTGCGACCACAACTGCGAGTATGTTGAGTCAGCATCGTCGACAGCCGAAAACATCTATAAATTAAAACATTTAGACAGTCTCCTTGCTGTGTTTTCATGACACATTCATAATTAATACTTTTGCCTGTGCGCTGTGGGAAGCTTTGTGTGTGCGCTTGAGCGTTGATTATGCTATGTATTATATATAGTCAATTAAAGGGTCATTACTTTATATACACATGCGATTAGTTAACTAATCTCTTAAATGAACGACTGCTAGTTGACTAGAAAAAACTTAAGTCGAGGGCAGCCCTACATTTTCCAAACCGTCATTACTTTCTTCTGTGGAACAAAATGATTTTCCATATAATGAATGCATACAGTGGGGACCACAAGCTTACTTTTGAAACTTACTTCTAAAGTATTTGATTGAAGGTTTGTGAGTGATTTTGATGTTTTGGAGGCTGGTGCTTGTGTTTTCTCTGCAGACTATACTCTAGAGGAGAAGAGAACGGAGTCGTCACTCTTAGAGGAGTTGGAGAGGGGTCTTGCAGAGCCTCTCGTCTTTGTGCTCAACGCCAACCTGCTGGCCGTGGTGAAGATTGTCAGCTGTATGTTCCCAATGTCTCACTCCACACTTGATGGATTTATGCTTTTGGTGATTTGACATGTGGAACCTGTGTGAATCGGTATGGTATATTATATCATGATTGAAGCTGTTCTAGTCTGTGTAGTTAGTCGTTTCCAAACCATCACGTGTGTGTGTGTGTGTGTTCTTTACATCTGATAACAATATGCTGGTGTATTCATGTGGATCGGTGTGGTGATTTTGTGTTCCCGTAGATGTGAACCGGCGGTGCTGGTGTGTTATGTCGAAGGGTATGCATGCTGTTGGACAGCCGGAGGTGGTCATTTTACTGCAGTGTTTGCCTGAGGAGAAAAGATTCCCAACGGATATTTTCAATCATTTCATTCAGATCTACTGGGATGCCCAGACAGGTGACATTTGTATCAGATGTTACTTGACCATAAAACTTAGATCAAACATTAGCAATGACTTGATAAATCTTGATTTTGCTGTTTCTCCAAGCAGCAGGAAAGCTTCTGAATCACCTAAGTCACTCTTTGGTATCCCGGGGGTTTCTGGGTAATAACGAGCATGCAGGCTTTCTTTACGTGCGTCCGACATTCCAGTCTCTGGAGGGCCTGCCGTTACCTGTGCCGCCCTTCCTGTTCGGACTCCTCATGCTCCGTGCCGAGGCTCCATGGGCCAAAGCCTTTCCACTGAGACTCATGCTGCGTTTAGGAGCGGAGTACAGATGTAAGAAAACCTTTTCAAAATAAGATAAATATATACCCTGACATTCCACAAATTTGCTGTGGGCAAGATTGTTATATGTTTGTGTTTGTTTTTGCATATGTGAAACGTTTCTGAAAGAAGTTTTGAAGCTGAATTTCCACCAGCCATTACTCCAGTCTTGTTCAAAACTTTAGGATCAGTAAGATTAAAAAGAAAAAAGAATGTAATGCTTTTATTCTGCAAAGATGCATTAAATTAATGAAACGTGAAAGACATTTATAATGTTTCAAAAGATTTCTTTGCCATCACAGGAAAAATACATAGAAATCAGCTATTTTAAATTGTAATCATATTTTACTATTTTAATATTTTATTGTATTTTGGATCAAATAAATTCAAATAAATGAACCTTAGACTTATTTAAAAAAAAAAAACGCTTTTAAAAAATCCTATCGACCCCAAACTTTTGAATAGTGGTGTACTATGATTTGGGTTAACTACTTGTATAACATGCTATTTATTATTTGGATAATATGCTAATTGAGATGTAGCGTTAGTCTCTACGATCTTAAAATCTCTAATATCAGTCATAATCTCTGTACGCATCATTTTAATGACCCCTGACCTCAGGAAGTACACCAACTGAGTCGTTTGTTTGTTCTGCTGTCCTGTAGTTTATCCCTGTCCCTTGTTCAGTGTGCGCTTCAGAGAGCCTCTCTTCGGACCCGTCAACAACAGTATCATGAGGCTCTTAGTGGTGAGACTTATGACCCGTTTCATTTACTATATCCTGTCATACAGCGTATGTAGTTTGTGTGATGTCTTTAAATGTCTTTTTTATTCTGTTTTGACTTTCAAAGGATTTTCGTTTTTACCGTTACACGCTGCCGACGGTCCCGGGGCTCGTGGTTGATCTAGAGGCTAGAAGCACCTGTATAAGAATCCCTAAAACACGTCATCCAGAGGTACCATAACCATGAACTGCTCAAAATAGAAAATGCATCAGGAGTACCATGATGGTATCATGTCCAAAGACAGTAGATGGTAATAGCATATTTACTAAATGTCAGAATATATTGGAGTATCAGAAGGATTATCATATAAATGATGTCCAATATAAGCAAACCTGAGGTAATAATTCCTTGATTTCTCAGGATAATGTGTGTTTTGTCTCTGCTGGTGTTTTAGCTGCTGAAGGCTCTGAATAAGTCTAATGAAAGAGTGCTGGCCCTGGGCGCCTGCTTTAATGAGCAGGCCGACTCTCATCTCATTTGCGTGCAGACGGCAGATGGACAGTACCAGACCCAGGCCATCAGCATTCACAGCCAACCCCGCAGAGGTGAGCGAGAACATCCCAACACCGGCGTGAGCTGTCTGTTGGCTCTTTTTAAATGTTACTACATGAGCCCCTAAAAGTATCTGGACACCGGCACCTACAGCTGTACAAATGTTATCAAACCTAGTGGCTTTTATTTTCAAGAAAGTTTGCACAAACATATTTTTCAAGCAAATCATTTCACAAAAAGAAGTTTTAAATGATACTGTTTGTGGTTTTACAGACTTCTTAAGCCCTATTCAGACGGTAATTGTTTGTCATCAACTTGTAATTACGGTTTCTACAAGGACGTGAATCTTGTGATTATGGTAATTACATCATGGCGTGAACGCATCTTCAGATGGCGGTTTATTCTTGTGATGGAGCAAATCATCCTACAAATCCGGGAATGCACTGCTCACTTGGTCAGTCACATGATTGTCAGCTGTAAACAAAATGTTATTACTTGGACAATTAATACATTTATATTTCATTTATTAATAGTAAAATAATTTCCTATTATACAATTATTTAAATATCCTATTTTAAAACGGGAAAATTGACATGCTGTATTTTAAATGGATTTCTCTCTTACATTTTATCTCTCAAAATTATGGATGTTATTTAAAAAAGAAGAAATTAGCAGAAACAAGTTAATGCAAACTCTAGCTAAACATTTGACCTAAGTATTTGTTCGACTAGTAAAATGATTACCGGTAGTTGTGCAAGCCCTAATTTATATAAAAGTATATAATATATTAAATATTAAAAATATTTATTGAACACCATAATAATGGACCATTTTTAAAAGTTTCCAGAATAATGAAAGGCTCCATATTTTAAATGCCTGCACATCACTGCAGCAGATACTGTACGGCACTTGGCAGTGGTCAAAAAGCATTTACAAAACGACTTTTGGATTGATGTTTGGCAGGGAAATCAGAAATTAGCCTACTTTCCCTGTTAGAAACCATTTCCGTCTGAATAGGGCAATACGATGGACGTATTGTGGTTACTCAGCTAGGACACCCGTGTGAACTTCATACATTCACTAAAATGTAGTGTAAAAATCACTTTATAAATGATTTAATATTATCACATTATTTAATATGACCCAAACAAAAGAGAAAACGTTTGTGAATGTACACATACTGTATGAAAACGGCATCAACGAAGGACTGATACAATAGCGTCTTTCCTTAAACGCTCACTTGAGGGCGCTGTCTGACAGTCTTGGAAAGCGCGTTCACTTTGTACGTGTTCAGTCGTTTGTTGTATTCCGTGTTGACTGGAATGCTCCCACTGAATTTAAAATCTTTGTCTCTGTTCACCTTTCAGTCACCGGCTCGTGTTTTTTTGTGTTCAGTGGAGGGCTCAAACCTTCATCAGGGTACTTGGCCAAGTCCAGCATTGTAGAAGGTTAAAGATTTGTTCATTCCTATTGTTTCTTGTTTCTCACTTCAACAGCTATTTAATGTCAATGCCTTTCTATCTACGTTTATCTTACTTGAATGTGTACGTCTAGAAGTTTAGCTGTGCATGTGCTAAGATTCCACGCGTCTGCTTATCATTCCAGATGGCTTGATGGTGCAGGTAACCATGGAGACCATGGGCGAGTTACGCCGATCTCTACGGGACATGAGAGACTTCACAGTCACCTGTGGAAAACTCCACCCTGCAGAGAGGCAGGAAAATGTGCACATTCAGTGGCAGGATGAAGAGCCGCGCTTTAATAAAGGGTAAGAAAAAAAATATATAGTAGATTAAGTTTAAATCTGTGCTAGTTGCCACTCACTCTGTCCTGTATCTCACAGCATTGTCAGCCCCATTGATGGGAAGTCTATGGAATCTCTCACAAACATCAAGACCCATCAGCGCTTAGAATACAAAGCCAATGGGAAGCTCATACGCTGGACAGAGGTAAACACTGAACATGTTTATGCACAGAGTGTCACTTGTGGACTGTTTGTGTTTGGGCTTGAAAAAGGAGGGAGAAATCAATTGGTTCGCTCCAAACAGAATAAGTATTTTAACGTTTCTGTTCATGCGTTCCTTCTGTAACATTACCGTATACTGACAGAGTGTGTCTGCTTCCCGAACAATGTTAGGAAGACCGTTACAGAGTTGTGGTGCTAAATAGGAAAAGGATTTTTTATTTTCTAGGTATTATCAACTGGCCCGAATTTTGAGATAGATAGCAATAGGCGTGAAGGACTTTTGTCATTGTTAAGAGCTCGCTCAAGTACTGGGGAACTAAAACATTTAGTAATTAGCTAGGTTTTAAAATGTATGCGATGTTTAACGGGGAGCCAATGCAGTGTTGACGGAACCAGGCTCAAAACACCTCAAAGGCGCAAGCGAAATCGAAGAAAAAACTGGTGTGACAAAATCAGGCCAAAACAAAGTTCGTTTGGAGTTTGTTTCGGGAGTTTGAAACAGCTTGCCGAAGCTGCCATTAGTCTGTGGCGAGAACGTAATGGGTGTGTGTGCTCTGGGGCTCTGCCCTTTTTCACATGGAAATCTTCTGTTTCATATTTCCTCTGCTGAGTCTGTCGGTCAGACGTCCGTGAGTGGAAACATAAAGACTGGAGAGCTGCTTTTTTTTGTAGAAATTGAAGTGTAATTCTAATAGAAAGCAACACAGATGCTGTTTTTCATGTTTAATCCCAGCTAACAAAAAAACGTCCCCAGAACGTTCCCTGAACGTCCACTGCGAACGTCCCCTGAACGTCTTCGTGTAGGGTTCTTTAAACGTTCGCAGGACGTCGTGGGGGACGTTCGCGGGACGTCCCGAGGGACCTTCGCGGGACGTTTAGAAAACTTTCGGGGACCTTTACGTAACGTTCACTAGAAGTCCTTTTAACGTCTTAAGACCCTTTTATAGTGTAGCATTAGTCTGATAACACAAAATCGAACAAAGGAACAAACACACAACAAGGAATATCAGGAAACAAAAATACTTTTATTTTCATAAACAAAAAAAGTGCGTGTGTGTGTGTTGCGTGTCTAGTTGCCAAGTTTCCAGCTGAAACGAAGTTCACATGTGTCTTCAAATGCGCTGGCAGCTGTGTGTGTGTGTGTGTGTGTGTGTGTGTTTGTCGGTCAGCTGTGGGATTAATCCGATGGCAATTCTCCCCCTTTGGCCCTAAAACAACAAAATAAACATATTCAGTTATGATTTTATCCAAGTGGAATATAACGTTGTCTCATTTCAGCTACATTTAACGTTAGCTTCGTAGTGATAGGCATAACGGTTATCAGCGGTAGGCCTACATTGCGGACAACTTCAGCAAACGTTTTAAAAGGTAACATTTTCATATAATTTAAAGACGGACAGTGGTTATGGTAACTAATTTATAATAACCTAAAAATTAAAAATACCTTTAGACAGACGACGGACAGAGAAAACACAATAAGGCTGCGTCTGAGGAGGACCGTTAACTGTCACTACGCTACCCAGCTGAGCGTTGCCATGGATACAAACCATAGACTGTGATACAAACCGCGTACATAAGGAATGACGTCACTCGCTTAGGTGCATTTGATCCTATGATTTGATCGTCACTTGCTTGTTTCTCCAAAAAAAAAATTGTGTTATTTGATCTGCATGTGCTATCAATAATTAGAACAATATTTTTCCTAAAATATATTATTTTTAATAAAACCAGTCACCTTCGCCTGACCAACAGTTTGACAGGTAAATGTTAAGGATACTTTTATTTGTCTTACCGTGTTACTTTCCACTTTCTTTCCAGCAATTTTTCATTCTTCACGTTTTCCTTGGCTGCATTCATCATTTGAAGTCGATGCATTCTTTTAGAGCTCCTGGGATTCAACCTCTTCGTGCATGTGGAATAGCCTTTATAAATTGTAGCTCATATTCAATTGAATCAATTTTCATGTTTTTGATGTTTATAACGGGTGAAAACAGACTCGTGGTTTTATTACATATTTAATTAGTGATATAATTTACATGAAGTAACATGAAAGTTATTATCTTAACATTAAAAACACTAACATTTTTAGCATGAACTTAATTTTACAATTAATGCAAATATTTGCATTTATATTTTAGTTTAATTATTCGTTTGTCTGAGTTGCAAAGTGTCAGTTGATGATGGCAAACGCATGGGCGACGGGATTTTGCAAGTGTTGTCATGGAAATGCCAGGTGAGGGACGAAATAGGGACGTTCGCAAACTGGCCCGGACAAATGTCCTCAGAACGTCCGTCAGCGAACGTTATAAAATGGACCAAATGCGAACGTCATCGGAATGTCCGTCAGCGAACGTTACAAAATGGACCAAATGCGAACGTTATCGGAATGTCCTTCAGCGAACGTTACAAAGCGGACCAAATGCGAACGTCATCGGAATGTCCGTCAGCGAACGTTACAAAGCGGACCAAATGCGAACGTCATCGGAATGTCCGTCAGCGAACGTTACAAATGGGACCAAGTGCGGACGTCCTCCGAACGTCCGATCGGGAACGTTACAAAGCGGACATAATGCGGACCTAAAGGGACGTTTGAAACGTCCGGGGGACGTCCCTTGTTTGCTGGGAAGCACTCTGTTGTATGAAGTGCTGTATAAATAAACGTGACGTGACTACTTGACTGGCGTGTTGAATTGCAGTACTCGTGCAAACATTCAAACCGCTATTACCAGATGCTTTCTTAACCGCTGTTTTCTCACTGCTGTCATTTTTGTTGTGTGTTTATTTTATTGTTGAGAAGAAAGAGAGCAGCAAATATTTACATATTTATCTAAACGCCACTCTCAGCAACGTGGGCGGCGTCGGGATGTTCGCTAACAGTGTATTACTACAATGGTTTTTCAAACGTCTCTACCCCTAAACGAAAAATGAAAAGGACTGCGCTGTGAGCATATCGGGGCCTTAACAATTACATAACAACTTAGAAAGGAAAAGGACCCTCCTCCTAAAAAATGCCAGCTATATATATATTCATGTATAAAGAGCCATTTTATACTGTGACTAATACAAATCTGTACTGGATAATATTTTGTTTCTATGTATTTGTTTGCTTTTTCTTAATATAACCACTAATTCGGCGGTGGCGTGTAACACAGTGACTCCTAATAGCCACTTTGGCAGGTTGAATTTTATATCATATACATTTTTTAATTGCAGTCTTTCAAAAAGGCATCTGAAGTAATAGACTAAGTGCAATCTAGTGTTTTCAAAAATATATATTTTTCGATACATAGCGATACTGCAATATCTGAAACTCTTCCGAAGGATACACAATACTAGCCTCGTGAGACCATCCTGATCTCGCGAGCTTTCAAGGTTTCACTCGCAGATCAGTCTGGATACTTTCCGTTAAAGAAAATTTGGGAGCAGTTCACCAAACGAACGTCCTATCAGCGTTGGCTTTGAGGCGGGTTGAGGTGTGACGCAACGAGAAGCGCGTCAGTTCAGTCTAAAGAACATGTCGGCTTCAGCGGATGAAACTAGCATCAGCGTGGCTATCGAGCAAGTTTTATCGGAATTACAGAGTATTTCTTCACTGAAAGAAGAGCAAAACACTGCTCTGGAGGCTTTTCTCAGAGGAAAAGATACGCTCTGTTAGTACGTCATATGCTTCGTTGATCTGATTGGTTGATTTGGCCCGTCTATCACCAACATAGGCCAATCAGCTAACCAGTATTTTCGCCCCTTACCAAAACTACTTCAACGGAAGGTTTCCAGATGGATATGCGGAGCAAATCCATCTGGCGGAGTCAGGTTAACACAATACCAGCTGCACGTTCTCGCTCTCTAATCTCTCCGAAAGCGATTTGACCCACACAAAAAAAGTTCTCTTTAGCCTTTACTCACTCGTTTCATTTGCTCCGGATGAATTTTGAATTTCGCCCTGGGATTGCGCGTATTGAACATAATTTTACTCCTTCCCGCTAGGGATGCGCGGTATACCGGTACTGCAAAAATACCGGTATATATTTTATTTCAAACGGTACAATATCATAATTTTGTTCAATTCGGTATTTGATCCGCTGCTGTTTCGAAGTTCACCGCTAGGCGGCAGGGCGCTACCTAAACTGACGCGGGTCACGCGAAACCGGCAAACGGTGTCAACAGAGGAACACGATGGATCAAACGAAGCTCATTCGAATTTCTACACGCCCGAAATTAATAAATAGAGAGAGCAGTATGAGTGAAATAAAGCATTACTTTGCCAACAAAAGTAATGAGAAAAGTAAAGAAACAGATCTCAATTCACCACTCTGCAAATGGGGAGGCAACACATCAAATCTGCCGAACCACTTGACTTGTCAGTTGCTCATCTTGACTTGTTCAAAGAGTTCAGAGATCGACAGGTTAGTCCATTATTCAACTGATTTAATTTAGACTTTTATTGAACATTGAACAGCGCACATACATAAGAGCTTATCATATATGATACGGTAAACACGAAGGCTCAAATCTGCTTGAATGACACACTAGAACCAATTAAGTTTAGGTCTCATCATTTTTGCACTTTCAAACAAACATATATTAATTGAATTTGAATGAATAAAGAATAAAAATGTGAATAATATTAATTTTAGTATTAGTGATAGTAAAATGATTGGCATATTAGTGCCGCTGTGGCGACCCCTAGAGCAATAAGCCGAGAGAGGGAGAGAGTAATAGTAGTAATATGAATATTACTAATATTACAATTAAGCTACATTTGTCAACATTAATTAGGTAACCTGACCTAACAGTAATATAGCATTTATTAATCTATATCAATCAGTAATTAAATAACCTAGAAAATTTAATTTACTAATACATGTTTTTAGCATGTTAACATTACTTTATGCAATGCGTTAAACTAATATGAACCCAAACAGTAACCAAACCAAGATGAATAAATGCAATAAATGTTGATAAATCTCTGTTGATGCATGACAGCTAATGGTTTACATGTCATTTCATTATTCTATTATTATTATTATATGTGAATCTATTATTATAGATATGAACCTATTTTAATTGTATAATTTCAGGGGTTTTTTTCTAAATCAAAATTTGACCTACTATATGTTCCCTGGCTGATTTTTTTTTTTTTTTTTTTTTTACAATTTGATACATTTTCTTTGCACATTTGGTAGTGGAGAATTTCAAGCAGTGTTTTTTAAGTGTCACTTAAATTTTGAGACTGTTTTTTTTTTACCTTTGGTATCGATTTAGTATCGATACCGAGGTATTAGGTTCTGGTATCGTACCGAAGCCAAAATTGTGGTATCGAGCCATCCCTACTTCCCGCAGATTTTGTGCTCACACCCAAAGTGAGTGCTCATAAAGACACTATATTGGCTATATAAAACAGTATAATGGATCCGTGCGTCAGGTCTTAAGTTGAATATGCCTGCTGCCAAATTATGATTAATATTGAAAATATCTATATGGCGGTTTTTCCCTATGGTGTCGATGTCAAAATTGTGGCCATGTGGAAATGCTGAGTGGCTAGTAACTTTGGAAAACCACTAGCCACAGTGGCTGGTGAGCAAGACAAGCCCTGAATATAACCATTATATATAAACAAAATCTTCCTAACAAAATGATGTCAATAGCCCTTTATTTTGATTTATAGTTATGGACTAAGAGCTTTCTGCATGTATGTGGATTTATCTGAATGTGATTTTTTTTTTTTTTTTGAAAATGCTTTTGAGAACCACTTTCAACCATTGGTTACTTCATGTTTTGATGTCACAGGTGTTTTACTTGCTGAAAGACCAACATCCAAATGGTCTCAATAACCACACCAGCCACAACCGTCTATCAGAACGTCTTGCACGGGCGTTCTGCTTGGCACTGTGTCAGTCCCTCTGTTTGCTGAAGGAGGACGGCATGACCAAACTGGCACTGAGAGTAATTCTGGATGGCCAGAAGGTGAGATGGCGATAATTATGTCCACAGCTGTGATGCCAAACGATTATTTTTTCCCCCCATCGAGGTATTTTATTAAACACAGAAGAAAAAAAACCTTAAAATGGAAAAATTACATAATAATATTTTTAATGGCTTTTACACTAAATAAATGTAGACACTGTAAATCATTTATATTTACAGAATTTCTGCCTTCATTCTTCAAAAGAACTAATTTCTTTTCATATACTGTACCTCATCTATTGACTTTTCCAAGTCTGCTAGTTGACTACCAATTTTATTACTCCTTTACGCATACTTGGAACTATTTTTTCAATCTGATATTTAATCATAGATTCAACATGTACACTTTGAGCTGTTTTAATTACTGTAGTTCAGTATTGTGTAAGGGCAGGTCAGGAGTGTAGCATGTGAGTGTTACGTATCTGACATTCTCCCCAGTGTTCTGCTTTATTTTAATAGTGCTGTATTTGATTAGATCTATGGGGTTCTTAATCTATATTATCTTCATTTTTTTTCTTTAATCTTTCAGATGGAGTTTTTGGCAGGCGGTAACGGTCAGCGCCTTCCAGCACCGTATCAGGACTGTCTTAACCAATCATTAATGTCCGTGGTGCAGAGTAACTCTCAGTACCAGGGTCTCGCCGCCTGCCAGCTAGAGCTCATCTTCTATATTCTGGAGGATACGTCATAGAGACGGACCACCCACTGTCACATGTGCCAACACTCCCAGAAACCTCATGAGCATATCCTTTGAGTTCAGTATAATTTGAGGGTGGAATGTAGTAGATGTCCCCATGGGGCAGCTTATTTTAGTAGTTTATTCAATACCCCACTGCTCACTGTGAAAAGGTCGGGGGTTACAACATCAAATGGCTTTAAAAACTGCTAACATTTCTCAGTCATCACTAGAGGTCGACTGATATATCGTTTTTGCTGATTGATCGACACCAGTAACAGCTCTTGGAATGATCATATAATGGCAAAAATGATATTTCATTAGGTGCCACAAAGTTCTTATGGAAGCGCATTTCCACCTCAAAGTTCTAAAATTAAAATGTAACTGCTACTTTATTTCTCGTTATCACATCCTTATATCCGGCTATTACAACTTTTTGCAAAATTCTCTTAATTGTGACTATATCTCACAGTTGCGACTTTATCTTAATAGTAACTATATCTCACACGTGCGACTTGTTTTCTTGTAATTGCAGCTTCATGTCTCACTATTGTGAATATTTCTCATAATTGCGGCCTCATATCACGCTTTTGCATCTATTTGTCTCTTGATTTTGCAGCTTTTCTTGTAATTTTTCGCGTAATTGTAACTTTATAGCTTACGTGTGCGACTATATTTCTTGTGATTGCGGCTTTCTATTGTGACCATTTCTCATAATTGTGACTATTTCTATTCACGGTAAAAAGTAACTGCGACCTCATATCTCACTATTGCAACTATTTGTCTTATTCGTGACTTTATATCTCACAGTAGCAACTTTCTTGTAGTTGTGACTTTATTCCTCAAAATCACATTCAAATCTCACACTTGTGACTTTTTTTAGTAATTATTGCAACTTTATTAACTTCAGTACTAACTTCAACCAGTCAGTAATTATACTGGTTAAAGATATTATTCGCATTCATTCAACCGATAAAAAAAAAAAAAAAAAGACAAACAAACTAAAAATGTTACGTTTCCTTTAAACATTGATTTCTTAGTTATGAGTATCAGCAAAACCGATTGTCGGTCGACCTCAAGTCATCACCAACGGATCATCTGTGACAAATCGAAGTAGCTGTCTGTAGTTTATAGTCTGGACTCCTCCTAGAGACCTTGGCTTGGTCAAAAAAAAAAATTGAAACCTAAGGCCAGATTCTGGTAAATGAGGACCAAAGTGCGACATAAAACATGATTCTTGAGCAAATGACTTTTATTAGCATGACCTGATATTGGAGAGAGACTTGGTTTCTTTTCCTGAATCTTCAGTCTTCCACATGTAGAACTCATTGTAGCTGTGACTATCTCGGTTGTACTTCACGAGATAGGCATGAGGATGACATCCTTCTGAGTCACTGTACAAATCCCATGTAAACGCCCTCTTCTCCCAGCTTGCCGAGAGGAGCGCCCTGAACTCTGCCCTACATTAACGCACACCTGCTGGGGGGAAAAAAAGACGGAAGGAATTTAGCCAAACAAAGGCGAAGCTTGGATAAACAGGAGCGCAAACTATACGCACAAACTCTCGTGCACTGTGAGCTTGAAGTCATTTGTTCCTACACGACCTCTTCTCCCTCGCACACATACGGCGTAGGACGCTTGCTCATCTGGTCTTCCTCTGTTGCTTTTCAGGAACTGAATGGACTTTTTGTTTACATCCAACATGCTGCACATACTCGAGATGACAAATGCAGATTATGAAGAAGTGTGGCATGCACACACACACTGCATTTCTTCATAAACCACATCCGATGGAAGCCAACCGAATGGCCGATGAATCCTAAAACGCGAGAGCGAACACCTGCATTCATGTAGATGACAAAATGTTATACAAAAAGTATTTTAATATGTCAACCATTTGCATCGGAGATGCCAAATACCATGTGGGAATGTCAGCTGGAATTGTAGGTCAAATTCCTTTGACCTGCACTGATTTTATTGGAGGAGGAACTACAATGTGCCATTGAACAGCATAACTTACATGAAATAAACAGATAACTGTATTTTAAAATGGAAATTATTTATTTTTTGTATTTATTTCAATCGTAACAATATTTAACGTAACGTATCAATCCCGTTAGTTTATACGGTAAAACTATTTACAGATGTAATTCAAGTTTACTGATGTTGACTGTACAGTGTCTGCTATTGGGGGAGTATGAAAGACACACAGATCTGTGTGTGTGTGTGTGTGTTTGTGGCCATCTGTGAATTCGTTCTGTTGAGCAACATCAGCGAAGGATGCATCAAGTCACGACTCTTCCTTTTCCTCTTCTCTTCATACATTTTACTCAATAATTATTCTTTAGATTAATTTATGACAAAAAATATACAAATGGGGTTAAAGGCATTCATATCCCCATGTACTTATTTAATGTACACATAAAAAAAAAAACAAGATTTGAAAATGAAAGGTCCCAAAACACTCTTTGGACTCCATAGTGCCATTCTGCAGGTTCTCCTGGTCATCCATTTTGGGTCTTCTCCTCCTGAGCTCAGCTTCTCAGGCATTCTTCATCTTGCCGTTGAGAGTGCTTCCATTCTCGTGGTGTTTCTTCCCGTTGCTCTGGCCGTTTGCATGTACGCCATGGCCGTTTGAAACTACCGACGAGCCGTTGGCCACTGTGGTAGATCCATTAGCCTTGCCGTTCTGGGTGAGCTGTTGGGTGTTCTTCGGTAGCCTCCTGCCCTTCACGTACGCCTGGTACCAGAAGTTCGAGAATAGCACGAAGAAGAAGGTCCCGTACATCCAGATGAGGTGAATGAACAGAGGCACCTGGTAGTCGCAGCTCTTCATGAAGTACCACTGGGTTACATGAAGAGACACCAACACAAACTGAATCTGTTGAGAGGAGTAAGGAAGTCTGAGTTTTTGGTATAGTTTGAAGACATCTTTAAAGGGGATAGATTGTGTAAAACCAAAAGAAATGTGTAATATTAATGCAGCTCTTTCCAAACAACACCAGTTCAGAGTTATGAAAGCTTGTTTCACCACAGAATACAAAAATATTGCGACTATTTAATCTCACAATTCTGACTTTGAGAAGTCAGAATTGCGGAAAATCAATTCTAACTTCTTTTCTCAGAATTGTGAAATATAAACTCGCAATTGCAAGAAAAAAAAGTCACAATTATCTTTTAAAATGTTTTATTCTGTGGCGGAAACAGTCATTCTAAACTTTAAAGGGTTATTTTACTCTCATCATTTACTCCCCCTTAAAGGGATAGTTCACCCAAACATGAAAATTGTCTCATCATTTACTCTTTGTTCCAAAGCTGTATGACTTTATTTCTTCTGCTGAACACAAAAGATATTTTAAAGAATGTCAGTAACCAAACAGTTGATGGGCCCTATTTGACGTCCACAGTATTTTTTCCCTCCATATTATGGAACTCAATTGGGCCCATCAACTGTTCGGTTACCCATATTCTTCAAAATATCATCTTTTGTGTTCAGCAGAAGAAAGAAATTCATACAGGTTTGAAACAACTTGAGGGTGAGTAAATGATGACAGAATTTTTTAACAGAATTAAACCTTTAACTCCTCCACTGCTTTTCTTCCCATCCAGTGAGCGGTTGACTGAATTTGTCAATTGGATCAACCGATTCACTGAAAAGAACGATTCTTTCCTGAATCAGATTCTTTGGTCTCTGACCTCAACTCACTTGAGTGGATTATCAGTGAATAATGACTTATTTCTGTTTGTTTCTCACAACTTCGGAAGCCTTGGAATAAGTTGAATAGACCATTTTTATGGGCCTTTTTTGGTCCATTTTAAAGCTTGACAGTCATGGACACTACGATTCTTCAAATATATCCTTTTGGTGTAACAAAACATGAAGGCGAATAAATAAATGACAAATTTCAGGGTGAACTATCCCTTCAACATCCACACAGGCGAGTTTTATACTGCTCTACAAATCGAAAAAAACATACCAGCTGAATTGCAGTCATGTATTTCTTCCACCAGAGGAACTTCTGGAAGCGAGGCCCGGCAGCAGAAAGGCCGTAGTAGGAGTACATGATCACATGGACGCATGAGTTGATCATGGCATGGAAAGAGCCCATTCCACCTGCAAGAAACATTGCAGTGAGTCTTAAATGTGAGTCACATATGCTAAAGCAGTTCAACAACACACTCCCAAGAGCTTTATTTACAAAAACCATTAGAAGATGCAAAAGTTCTTGGCTTGTTGAAAAGCATGTCTGACTGGAATAGAAATGTGTCAGGGTCCATTAACAGGTTTTCAACCGAAACAGCATGTGCCGATCATGTAAATATCTGCTGACTGACCCAGATGGGAAGGAGAATGACTCACCTGGTGCATAGCTCACGCCCCACCACCACGTCCAGGGCATGAAGGAATGGTGGAAGATGTGCAAGAAGGTGATCTGACTGTGTTTCTTGCGCAGCACAAAAAACACCTAAGAATAACACATCATCATCAATACATGAACCAACATGCTTTTCAGAACTAGTTTAAAATCAGAAGTTTTGGAGTAGCGTATTTAAATCTTACTGTGTCCATAAGCTCAATGAACTTCGAAAACAGGAATAACCAGGCGACTCTTGTCATCTAGGAAAAAAACGACATCTTTAATATGGAGAATTTGATTATTTATGCACAAACTGCAGTAATATTTGAGTATATTACAGGGTATAGAAAGCAAATCTTACTCTGAGTCCTTGAGGGCTGTCTGAATAATCACATGGGTCACATCTCCACGTGTATCCTGTTGCCCACCCCGACATCATGAACTACACATCAATTAAAGAGTATATGAATTTATCTTCAGGAACTGGTTGTGAGCAGCAATTCAAAAACAGAATAGCGTCTCCTTAATAATGGATCAAATATAACACGCCTCTCTATGTGTCAATACCGAAAAACAAACGTGTATTCAAGTTCAAACACATCTGTGCAGTCACGCCACCTAGCAGAATGAATATCTCCTGATTCTCACCTCATATACGATATACGCAGACAGGACAACCAAGGACAAGTTGTAAATGATCATAGCTTCTTTCAACTGGAAGGGTTTACGGTTGGCCATAAACTTGGGGCCGGCGTACAGTACGAAGAAAAGATAAGCAAGTAGAATAGCAGACATGTTGACTGGAGTCCCCATTAGGAGGTAATCCTTCAACCGTGGGTCTAAAAGGAGAGAGAGAGAGAGAGACACAAAAACACAGAACACAGCTCTTTTACATATAGCAACAGCTTAACATAGAGATTTCACTCACAAAAATCAACTACATTTTATTCAAATATTATAACTGGATGACAACAGTTTCTCCAAAAAGACTTGACAGTTATGAATTAGTGATGGAGAAATGTATCGACAAGGCCCACATTCTGAGATTTTGAGTGTTTTAGCTTTAGCAATTAAATTTTAGCTTCCTTGTATCAGTCTAAAAAAATCTATTGACAGCCTTGTAAATCCATAATAAACTGTTTCTGACTTAAGTAGCTGACATTTTTCTGACAGTAAATTGAGTAACATAAATATTAATTTCAGATATTTTGTGTACACGCTCTCAACACAAGCGAATGCTAATGCCTCTATTAGCATTTCCCAGATGGCAAGTTGCATTCCATTCTGAAATGCGTCGGACCACAACTCATAACACTTTGTTTACTTTGTTGCTTCTACTACAGTCAATTTCACTTTCCCATCGACTATATCATGGCAGAGAAACAGTTTAGAAATCTTGTTGAACATGTTCCAATTTTAATAGCCATTTCAGCTAGCATTTGTTGTTATCAAATTGTATCGTGTATATACACCAAGGATCCAAACTCATCAGAGGTGAAAATTGATCAAACATCAGCTTTAAAAAATGGGGATGTACAGTATGAGAAAATAAGGAAAAACTCAACCAAGACTTTTCAGTTGTCTGAGGCTACATACACACTGTTGTTTTTATAAAACCCATTATATAAGGCTATATACTAAATCTACAAGTACTACTACTACTAATAATTATTATTAAATATTTCTATTTTATTAAATTTTCAGAATTTTAAAGTCCCCCTGTGGTGAAAATGAAGTTTTTATAGTTGTTTATATGTCTATGTGGTGTTTTAATATGCTTTAAGACAAACCATGTGTAAATTCAACACCACTGCTGAGTATTTTCTCCTTAAAACTGCAGTGAACCAAAGACAGTTTCCAAAACGCGGTTTGAAGTCGCTGGAGTTTTTTGACGTCACAGACTAGCTTGTAACTGATCACGTGAAGAGTGGATCACGTGAACCACGTAGAAGAGTGGATCTCTGAGCTGGTGTGAGTGAGTGGAGGCGGGGCTAATTTGCATATTCATAGAACCACGAGGCAAGGGTGTAGAGTTACATTCAAGCTATTTTAAGGCATGAAGAATCTTATTTTCAAGGAAAAAACTTTTAAATATGTAATTTTGGTGATCAAAGATGAGTTTTAAGGGATAAAATTATTGACTAGAGGTGGACTTTAATACGGTGGCCGAGAGGTGCAAAACAAATTACAATTCAGAAAACAAAATAACAATTCAGAAAACACAACGACAATTCAGAAAACAAAATAATTCAGAAAACACAAAGACAATTCAGAAAACACAACGACAATTCAGGGAACACAACGACAATTCAGAAAACACAACGACAATTCAGAAAACACAACGACAATTCAGAAAACACAACGACAATTCAGAAAACACAACGACAATTCAGAAAACACAACGACAATTCAGAAAACACAACGACAATTCAGAAAACACAACGACAATTCAGAAAACACAACGACAATTCAGGAAACACAACAACAATTTAGAAAACAAAATAACAATTCAGAAAACACAACGACAATTCATTCAAAACGGAAAAGGTAGGTATATTTTGAGAATGGCATACTTGTCGCTGATTGGACGAGACACCTGTCAATCAAGCCAGAACCGGAATCAAGCGATTACTGGAAGTACCGAGGGTAGAAAAGCGATCCGTTTTTACCATAGACTGTAAAAAAACAGGTTTTTACGTTGAAGTCTTCTTTTGTTATTTTTTTGTACGGTTACATTTGTACATGCAGCTTTCTCTACCGTAAACGAGATTATAATGTTATTCCCCGATGCTGATGTACAGATCAAACGTTAAATCTGAAGTAGTAGACATATACTTTTCTCTTTGAGATTCCCTGTGAAGTATAGGCTAACGTTACTGGCATAAGCTGGCCTAGATATTCGTACATTTAGGGACCGTGCCCGTCTCTAAAGTTACATCCGACATTGGTACACACGTTTCCGATAGCATTTTAATGACTTGCAGTCATAAAACCATCTGTAAATTGTTCATGATGTAGATGTCAGGCATGATGCACACTTTTTAGATAGTTGATATTAAAATTAATATGAGCTCATGCGGTACTGAAAAAATATGTACACATGATTTGACAGTTTATTTGATTAAAATACCAAAAACGAATCGCTTTTCTACCCTCGGTACTTCCAGTAATCGCTTGATTCCGGTTCTGGCTCGATTGACAGGTGTCTCGTCCAATCAGCGACAAGTATGCCATTCTCAAAATATACCTATCTTTTCCATTTTGAATGAATTGTTGTTGTGTTTTCTGAATTGTCGTTGTGTTTTCTGAATTGTCGTTGTGTTTTCTGAATTGTTATTTTGTTTTCTGAATTGTCGTGTTTTTTGAATTGTTGTTGTTTTTTTCTGAATTGTTATTTTGTTTTTATAATTGTGTTTTGTTTTGCACCTCTCGGCCACTCTCCTTTAAGAATTAAAAAAAATTAAGCATAATTTTATTTTATAGAACAACAGTAAACACAAAACTAATACAAGTATGCATCCCTGGTATACTAGCTAATACAAGATCATCCATTGAAAAAGTCACATCGGTTCACCATTAATCTGAATAGAACCAATTCAGATTCAGGACTACTTAATGTATCTATGTAATCATTTCATGAACATGCATTTTTACCTGTTCCCGCTAAGAGGCTGTCATAGACCTCCAGTACTCTGTCTTTCACCGTCTCCAGCATTTTCACTGACGTCAGCTTCACGTTTGACTGCACAAAAGCACCTGTGAGGGCAAACAGAGATGTTGTCAGTTCAGAGTATAATGTCACGTGGCAGACAACATGCATGAGTGCAGATAGTGCGATTCCTCAGTCAGTACTTGATCTCCACACAGGCTTTTCTACCAGTCAGTCTTATTGAGTTAAATGCCAAACAAAAAATGCAGTTAGTGTTTGTGAGGGATGGAATGAGTTCACTGGATCAGGTGACCAACAGCTGAGCCAGTAAAAATGAAAGACCTTGAACCACACACTGGAAACATGTGATGTTCATCTCGTGTCTAGCCAGATGCTGCATTGATTTTGTCTCTTACAAATGTGAATTACAGAAACACTTACTCCACATCTACTAGAGTTCATAAAAAAATACATGTATTGTATCTGAAATAATCACCTAAAACGGTTGGAAAGCGAAACATTTTATTTCATTTTATCCTGATTTGATTTCTTCGTTTATTCCAAATTCTGTTTCATTGTCACGTTCCATCTGCCTCTTTCCCTTCATGCATTTCTTTGTCCTCTTGGTCTGATGTTGGGAGGTGTGGCCACAGGAGGGAGCGGAACGGCACAAGTGATGTAATGCTTTCCTCATTATAACCTTCATGAAACGCTCGGTCACCTCCACCATGAATGTGTCAATGCTTGAGCTTTGACACAATAAACATTAATGGATTCATACAGCTGACTACACAGAGAGAAGAAAGCGGAGTCTGATCTTATCACAGATCTAGTCGTCCCAACTGAACTCTGGGTAAACACTGGAAGAATTCAGGTGTGTCGCGCACTTTAGTTTGAAGTCTTTCTTTTCAATAAAACAAAGAACTTCCTAAAGAAAGCTGGGAGGAAAGACTGTACAAAGACTGTACAGAAAACACTACAGCAAACTCCCGCTACCCAGTCCCTGCGTGACTCGTCATAGACAAACAGAGAGGGGCAGCTACGGCTTCAATGTTCTTCCGCAAGACGTATGCATATTAACCGCTAAAGTGCCAAAAGTTACAGACTGCAGCTTTAACAAATGCAGGTGTAAAAATTCACCTTGGCTCTGCTGCATTGAATGGGCATCTCATTATATGATATAAATATAATATTTATATATATATATATATATATATATATACATACACACAGGCACAGCCTGGAATATTCAATTGAGCTCTCTTTCACATCTTGCGCTTGTAAGGACAAATTCACACAACGTATTCTATTAAACATAGTTGGTTGTCTTGAGTGAACGTAAAGAGTTGAGGAAAAAAACGCATGTGTACAGTATCTGTAAATTGGAGGTCCTAATAATCCTGCTGCCATTAATGTTAATCAAACAACAAAAGAGAAAGACAAAATCACTCACTGCTCTTGTCTGAATAACTTTTTTATTCAGGATTCATCCGTGTTTAATTTATACAGTAGACTATGACTATACAGTGCTATTTTACATTTGATTACTTTATTACATTTCTGTATCTGAAAACTACTGTTAGATCTACCTGAAAATGTACCTGAAAAGCACTTTGTTTCTTTTTTTCTGTTTTCGGTATTTGTTTGTGCAGTTACTGACTGTTCATATGTCTTTAATAATGTTTAATAAAAATGAGAGAATTGTGAATTTTGCAAAAACAGTTTAACATGGTAAAAAATATTTATGGCCGGTAAATTGTCTTAAAAAAGTTACGTTTCGGATTGTTTATATATACACAAAGATAACAGATTTTACATATAAATATAGATATATTATAAAATGAATTATATAGATATTTTTTTATATGAATGATATATTTATAAAAAAAAGTGTCACTCAAAACTACAGCCAAATGTAATCCACTGACCCATTCAGTAGTCATGTATGAGGATATATTTTTTATAACCGTATATTTAGATAAGATTAGCAGTAAATTACTCATTTACAGCCTTGATACAATGATGTGCCCGTATCAGCTGGGAAATATATGACCCAACGACTCCACTGTCCTTCTGATAACATATATCCACAGCACACACAAACTGACTGGCTCTCATTTGTCAAAAATAATGACTTCATCTAAAGGGCAATTATAGCAACTAGAGGACACAATGTATAAAGGGTCAATAAATGCTATCTTTACCTTCCAAGGGCTCCACTCACATGAACAAATAGGTCTGCCTTCCCCGCCACCCAACGATGGAAACTTCTCTTAAATGGCAAGTTCAGAGTGAAAACTGACAAACCCAGACTGGTTCTCTCACATATTCTCTGTGTAGATCCCTGGATTGGGGCACACAGATGTCATTTGAGATGCTAGTGATAGAGGGAGTCACTATGGGCTAGCAGGCACATTCATAGACTGAAGGACTGATCAGAATCATGGACCATTTTACGTCAGCACACAGAGACGTTCATAGGAAACGCACTGTGGCCTTCAGGTTCAACCACTTTCTGGTCGCTATCGCTTCAAGGAGACTGTGTGATTGTAAAAAGGTGATAAAATTCCTGCTTTGTGAGTAAAATCGAAGAATTCAAACTACTGCATCATATTGACCAGCAAGTGGAAGTCAGGAGACCTGAGATAAGATAAGTGCAACACTGACTTTAGCAAAAGGAAACACAGCTTGAATGTACACACAAATGCATGTGAACTGACCGACTGTTATCAGAAATATTCCTTCCTTTCAGACTTTGCAAAATATAAATTCATAGGAAAAAGCTCATTTAAGTTTTCACAATAGTCAAGAATTAGCGGGAGTTTCTCCGAAAAAAAAAGCCTTTATCCAGCCAGGTGTGATAGAGGTTGAACATTCAGGTCACATGAACTTGTACGATCTTGTTCTGTAGGGAGATCCTTTAAGGATCAGATGCACGGAGGAGGAACGGAATATGATGCAAACTAGTTTTTGAACACATCATCGTGTACACTCAATAAAAATGCATGAAGCGACTAAATGTAAATAGGCCCAGTGTGGTCTTGTACGTTTGAACCCTGTGTTTACGAAAAAAAAAAACCACAAGAAAAAAACCCCCTGAATGCAAGCAGTGTCTGATCACGGTTGCCAATGTGGGGGAAATCTAATTGTGCAAGATATGAGAGGCATCTGTAAGTCGTCTCAGGATTGTTAATGGCTGTGTGGATGTATTGTGAGGTTTTGGCATGGCTGATGGAACACATGCCTCAGGAACTAAATTCTCCAACAGTGGAAGCTCGTGGAAGCCACATCTATACACACAAAAGAGCTTTGACTTGACCAGGTCTAATTGGTGTTTATGTGTCAGTGGGTTGTATTTGGATTTGCCTCTGGATTGACTGTCCTGATGAAACTTTACACTTCTTGGAAGGGATGCACACTTCAGAATGACAACACTATGAGTCCGTGCCAATGATGTTAGTAAACCTCTAATTTACAGAAGAAAAAGTCGCTGAGTTTAAGAATTCTGTAAAAGGTTTCAATGTGTCATCACCAGAAATGCAAAGTTCTTCTACGGATTTTTTAGTAATATGTGCAGAACTACCCAGTAGACATGAAGCAATTGGAATTTTTTTTTACAAAAAACAAATTTGTCTGAAAAAACTTTTCTAAAGTTATTCTCTAGGGGACGGGTGTAACGAAATCTCGTGCCACGAGATCTCGCGATATTAAAATATGACGATATTTCTCGTTGAGGTGAAACGCTGTCTCTGATCTCGCGATATCAGCATATTAAAACCATTTAATCATAATTTAGCATATTTTATTGTGAATATGTGCTGCAGGTGAAGCGCGACACTTTAATTTTATGCGTACATGTTTCTCAGAGCTGCTCCGTTCACAGTAAATGCTGCTCCACAAACTCCGTCTCTGCATGTTTCCAATAACGTGCATTTGGAAATGCATTATAAAGTCTGATGCGTTTTGATAGCTAAGTGTTGCGCTGTTATCATACATACGTTGAGCACGTCTCAGCTGCTCGGTTAACAAACTCCATCTCTACATATGCTGTGAGTTTGGGTTGCTTATAATGTTCATCTGGAAACGCAATATTCACCATCTCACCAGGTTTGTAACATAAATCATTTTAAGCCTACACCAACACAGGAGAATACATCAATATGTTTCTAAATATGCACATTGTTCATTGAGATTTCAAAATAAACGTTTAAACCCTCACTCTGAGTTTGCATGATGTCCACATGTTCTTGTTTTATGAAATTACAGTGGCTGTAGCATTTGTAGCAAATATTGTTTGGCCAATATTAAACAAGGATTTGATCATGCTGTAAGGTGTAACAACAATCACCAGACAAGCAGGCATTTGTTATAATACTTAATGTACTTAAGTTGATTATGTTTATATTATGTAATGTACATTACATGTATTTTAACAGTGTTTTTCAATAAAGCCTAATGATTACTTTATTCGAACCCATTATTATTTTCTTATTATCATTTTAAAGGCTATTGTTTACTTAGGTCTATTTTTATTTCCACACACAAAAAAAGACCCAATTACTCGATTACTCGTCAGAATATTCGATTGATTACTCAAATAATCATTAGTGACAGCCCTAGATTAGTTAAAACATTTCAATAGGCACCTGAATTATTTTGCATTTTGTGACTTTCAGTCAAATAAATGACTATTTTTCAAGTCATATAATTTGTCATTGAAGATTTCTCAAAAAGTGTTAAAATATCGTCTTGATCTCGTGAATTCAATATAGTGGATCTTCTTCACACCCCTAGTAGTAACAATAATGAGATTTTTCCATTACGATAATGTGAAAATTGAACGTAAAATATGCTTAATTGTCATGAAAATAATGACCAAACATCTTAACGGCCCTAACATGCTTAAAGGCACACTGTGGAACTTTTCAACCTTTATAATATATTACCAAAACCCATTGAGATGGTACATCGACTTACAATAGGTTGAATGACACGTCTGCCGTAGCCTGAAGGTGTCTGTATCGCTTTTCCTAGCACTATGTAACTTCGGGTTTCGGGTAGGAACCCGAGCACAAAAAGAACTACAAAATTCAACCGCTTTACGGCATACGTCACTTCCCCCACCACCCACAACTTCCTCAGATTCTGACGTGAGTGCTCAACTCGCGTTTGATTGCCGTCTGTATGTTTTCGTCATGGCCGAACCAACAGCTACAAGGAAGAAGGCAAAGGTTTTGTCAGAGGACACTAAAAAAAAAAGAAAAAGCATAGTGACAAATGTAAAGCCAGGACGAGGATCACCATTGGTCCAGCGTTCGCTCGCTGGCGTGAGCTACAGGAGGAGGAGGGGTGCCCGACCGATGCTGACGCTTGCCTGCACACAAATGCCGTTTCCAAGGTGACCCAGATAAATCATATAAGTAGTGTAGTATTTTCTGGTATTCCGGCCACAGCCGATGGTGTTATGAGTGTAATAAAATGCCCACAGCCCATTGTTCATTTCTACACACAAACACAGCCCGCCACAGTGCAGGGCTCGCACAAATAGTCGACTCATGTCAAATGTACATTAAATGTAGTGAACGTGCCCACGACTCAGTGCCCACAAACACTACACACAACATGTCCCACGGTTTCTGTAAAACGAAACCAACACACATAAGTTACAGTCAGCTCAGGCCGACGATGTTTTTAGTGCAGTAGAAATGTGCCCGCCGTCCCGCGCCCACATTCACTCACAGACATGTTAGCACTAAGCCCCACGGGGCTCGCCCCGCTCTCTCTCTCTCAGCAGACTGCTATAACCCCTCATTTACACTGCACACGTCTGCGGCGCATTACGGCTGCGACACGGTTTTATTCCGTCCTTCACACAGTGCCAACTCACTTCTGGGAAGCTTCTGAAACGCGCCGCTTCGCGGCCGGTGTAAACACACGCATTGACTAGAATGGCCGCGATCAGCTCCGGTAGCCGTGTCGCAGCCGTAATGCGCCGCAGACGTGTGCAGTGTAAGGGAATCGAGCGCGGCAAGGCTGCCCGCCTCAAACACTGCACACAATCTAAAGACACGGGAGGCTGACCCACTGTCTATGGGCTGACCGGTTGATTGTTTGTTGACTTTTGCGACAGTGCTGCGGAGCTTGTGGCCTCTAGGGACGCTAGACGTGAAAGTTACAGGTCGAGCGCCACTAGTGGCCAAAAGTTCCGCGGTGTGCCTTTAATTTTCTTTTAGTAAAAATATATTGATTATTTAATTATTTATATTTTGACTTTTTAAAATTGAAATATGACCCAGACACATTCTTAAAGGGTTTCACTTCAGAAATGACCAGTGTCATTCAGCTTATAGACCAACTCTCAAACTGATTGTCATTCTGTACTGAACCTGAATACATAACAGAAAAGAAAATCAGATTATAATCAGCTAGTCATTGAGTGAAAATCAAACCTGAACATATCAATGCAGCATTGGTCTCTAAAGATTAGACAGGAAAAAGAGACTAACACAATGACCATTTATGGTAACAACACCCTCATCAAAGCCCTTTAAATGGAAAAATAAATCATTCCATCGTATGTTAGCATTTAGTTTCACAGAGGTCTAGTCCCTCTTCCTCCTCTACTCTATCACACTTCCCCCGCTCCCTCCCTCTCTCTCCATCTCTCAACATAAGGAAAACATAAAGCCATATCCGGCCCTTTAAGTCTGCTCTGTGAGAATTAGCGGGCAGGCGTAAAATGACACGGTTGCTAGCAGAGACGAGGAACCACCCTGCTGAGAGCATGTGGCCCGCCTGTCATGTGACCAGACCTCATCAGGTCAAAAGCCACAGGCAGAAAAAGACATCTAAAGACAGCAGAAAATCCCTATTAACTGAATAATCTGTCTTTCCTAGACAGTAGAGCACAAATCACTCTTTGAGCAAAGAATACGACTCCAAAACAAGTGCACTTCAAAGTAACACTTCCATTTAAGGGCAATAGGGAAAGTTTTAAGTACTCAAAGTGAAGCTCGAGCGACAGTTAGCTGCCAGGAGAGCGAATGGTAAGGGTGGGGTTACACACAGGCTGCGGCAACAGGCATCCTGTGAGTGAATCATGGGGCGGAAAAAGGGAACATGTTTAGAGTTAATAATAAACGGAAGAGAAGAACCACAGTATAAAAGCTGTTTGGAGAGGCGACATCTCCACTTTAACACACTTTATAATAATTAAAAGCAGTCTGCATTGGAAGGGCAGGAAAAGGACTTATGGAAAAAGTCTAAACAAAACGAACGGCTCACCTTACAAACTCCTGCCTCCTCTGAGATTCCTGGTCGGTGCTGGCAGCCCAACTCTTATCTTCTCCTTCGGCGTCTGCCCTCTCACTGCTGATAGAGAAAGAAACCAGGACAGCGGTAGTGGAGAGAGAGAGTGAGGGAGAGGCAGAGAGAGGGCAGGAAAAGAGAAGGAGTAGTGGAAGGAAAGAAACAGAGTATAAGTGTGTGTGTTAGAGAAATGACGGTGTGACTGGTACGGCTGGCCTCCTAGTCCCTCCCACCCTGACTCACTCTGTGGATGAATAACTGGCTCTGAGACAGCAAACTGGAGGATAGAGACTGAAAATGGGAGTAGGACAGATAGAGAGAGAGAGTCTGTGCATGTTTGACTAAACGGCGAGTAAGTTAGAACTATTGACCTGCAGTTTAACAGCTGTGGCAAGGATCCTGTTACTGTATGAAAGTTGTAGGTCAACCTAGGGCTGCTCAATTATGGCAAAAATTATAAATCATAATTTTGGTCAGCATTGTAATCACGATTATTTAACACGATGAGTGGGCCATATGACCAAAACCTTATACGAGAAATGTATTTAGCCGATTTAAAATTTTCAATTTCACAGCAGACTACTAGGCTAATAATAAAACAATATTTTAAAACAATAAAAAACAAAAAAGGAAAGTACAAACACAATAGAAAAATTTAAAAAAGGAAACAAACTTGAATTTTTTTCATGCAAGTCTATAAATATTCAGCTAACAACCTACTGCAGAAATGTAAAAATCAAACGTAAAATAAAACACAGCATAGTCTTCACTGTAAGAATTAAACTAGCTGTGAATCTTATAATTAAAACTAAGTAATTCAGTCAAGAGCAGCGAGTGATTTTCTCATTTTCTTAAAGGGGTCATATAATGCCATTTTTGTACAACTTAATATGAATGTGTAGGGTCTAAATGAAAACTTTGTAATATACATTTATTAAAAATTCTCATTAGTATTTTAAGAAAACACTAATTTTACCTGGTCAAAAACAGCTCTGTTTTCAGCTCGCCGTTTCTGTGCATATGCCTTTAAATGATAATGAGCTTCGCTTACTCCGCCCCTCTGTTCTGCTGGCGTTTTGATACAACGCACGTGGAGTGTTGCCTTGACAACAGTTGAGGGTATATTTTGGAGAAAGAATGGCAGCGGGAGTCTCTGAGGACACATTTGTGCAACCGTATCAATTTGAACCGGAGTCGGACCCGGAACAAGATGACGGCCGCAAAGAAGTTCGACAATTAAGGCTCGAATAGGACGTTTCTGAATGGGTGGTTAATAATGTCACTCTGATCTATTTTTGTATGTACTGGCAGGGTAGAGTAGAGTAGTGAGATATGAACGCTATGTGTTTACTGATGGATACGTTAGTTCATTGACAGATTGATGTTACAACTAATGGTCATGAAAAACTTTTTTCCGCGATTTGCAAAGATTAATATAAAGGTTAATAAAACTTTACACTCACTTCTTCTGGAGGTGCAGAGGGAACATAAATAGTTGGTACCGATTATTTTTTCAGGAGCAGCTTCTTAGCAAAACCAGCTCATACTGACCCTCGTTTATAAAGCAGTCTGGTGAGAAATGATTCGCGCAGACATGAAAGCATTGACGTTGGTCGTGGGGAATATTCCCTTCGAAAAAACAAAACTCAGCCACTGCGTCTTCAGCGGTTCAGATTTGGGAACATCAAAATGACTGCTGTGTGGTGTTCTGTTCTTGGGTGTAATAACGAACAATCGCTTAGACGCCATTCTGCTCCAGCGTATCAACAATGACGGACTACGTTGAGCTAGCTCGCTCAGGGCGGGTCTGTGTTGAAATGCTGCTGTCAATCAACAATCGTGGGAGGGGCGTCCGACCGTGTGACGTCACGGCTCGATTTGAGACAGGGGAAAACATATAAGGAGATTAAAACAAAAAAACTGGATGGATTTTTATCATTATATGATGGTTGTGTACAGGCACTGCCAACACACATCTCATTACAATCAACTTGTAAAAGTGCATGTACCATTATATGACCCCTTTAAGTTAGTAACATTTTAGTCCACAGTCAAGTAAGACAAAATGCACAGATCCAATATACTGATACTAGGGCTGCACGATTATTCACAATATCCATGTAATCGCACTTAAACCGATTTGGCTTATCGCGATTTTGAAATCGCAAAGGCTGCGAATATTTTTTATGCGCAGCTTGTCATTGATGTGCGGCTCTGTAAACGCTGCTCCATCTAAAAGCACGGAGTTTGAGTCACTTATAACGTGCATTTGAAAAAGCAACATGCGTCAAACATCTTTCCAAACATGAGAAGCATAAATAAACCTCTTGTCCAACAAAAGACAACATTTAATAACATGCTTTTGCTAAACTCACTTCATAACGACAGTTGAGCATCCTTCTGTGAGATGATGTGGCTTTTTACACAGAATAAGGCAGTCGTGTGTTTATTAGTCATGTTTAATCAAAGCGTTTCAATCTTCTGTTTATTCAGCTACAGCGATGATAGGGATTTCCTGGAATGATGAGCGTTATCTACTTCTGCAGCGGCACATATTTGGAGAGTCTGCGTGAGACGCCCTCTGGCTTTCAGATGGAGCAGCATTTACTACCGATCAGCCGCACTGCACTGACAAACTGCGCATAAAATAATCGCAGCCTTTGCCAAATCGTGTGCGGTTTCATTGCGATTAATTGTGCAGCCCTAACTGATACGCATTCTATTTTCTCCCAACTGTAATTTTATTCAGCAAGGATGCATCCAATTGATCAAAAGTGACAGTATAGACATTTATTATGTTGCAAAAGCTATTTATTCTATTTCAGATAATTATTCTTTTGAACTTTCTATTCATCAAAGAATCCTGAAAAGCAATTGTACACAACTGCTTTCAACATTGATAATAATAATAAATGTTTCTTGAGAACCAAATCGGCATATTAGAATGATTTCTGAAGGATGCCTATCTGAGTTGTCGAATGTCGAGAGCCGGAGGCGGCACCAAATTTGACGGAGGTGGCCACCTCGTAATTCTCTATGCAGGAAAAACCCTGATATACAGTATATAAGTATATAAAGAAAAGAAAAAAGAAGCCAAAAATAATCAAAGCATGTTTTCCACAATTTTTGCAGCCGATTCCGACTAATAATTTTTTGTCATCATGATCGGTCATTACTGATCCTGATCCAGATCATTCAATTTAAATGATATGTAAGCTCTCTGTTGACTGTCAATGTTAACCCCTTTAACCCTGAAGGCATTTTGAATGCTTTTACGTGATTTCAAGTGGCATACTTAAATATAATGGTTTATATATATTTTCTACAATTATACAAAAAAAATATATATATATCAAGTACATTGTCTTAATTGATAGAGTAAATAAAAGAATAAAATAGAATACAATTTTAAAGAAAATAGATTTTGATCCTGTTTTTATGTTACAACACTGCTGGGAAAACCCCATGAAAGAGTGATGCAATTTATTGATTTATATTGTTTTTGTTCATGATCGACATGATGACTATTAGAAAGGATATGGCAGGTCATAAAATCAAGTTTGGACTTGCATCCCACAAGCATGCCAACTGCATCTGAGATAAATTTTGTGTTGATATCTCAAAGCAATAAAAAGTTATGGCATTTTGAACCATGGTAGACTTTTTATCAAAAGTCCAAAAACCTCTCCAAACAAGTGATCTGATTGTTAATGAACATAAGAACGACTTAAATGTTACGCCACAAAACATAAACATATTTAGAATGAGTCACAAGTAATAAGATCTTGGTTGATGAGTGATGATCTTCCAGCAGAAGTATACCTGTCAATGAACGATCAATCCAATCCAAACGAGGTCAGTGTAAAACAGTGTTTTACTTTGAGTTGAGATTGGTCTCAACACATTGTCCCTACCCAATATACACACCTCCAGTTTTCAATATACCAACATACCCAAGATCCAGTTTTCATTGGCTGCACTTTCAAATGACGTTGGATATCACTGTGTAATAATCGCGACACGATCGGATCCCAGAAGTCCTATAGCTTTAGCCAAGCAGCATGTCATGTCACTCCGTGAGGATTTTCTCAAGATCTACGCATCATGTTATATTGTGTGTGGGCTCGTTTGAATCGATACAACCTGCTCTAAATAAAGCTGTGTGATTTACTATGGTTTACTAATGTTTTTCAAAGTTACAAAGCAGTACGTGGTGCAAAAGCCTCATCTGTAAACTTTTTACGTTTTTTTAAGTCATCAAATTGCGATCAGTTCGTGAGATCGACCAAACCTACTGACTACCGATCAGGACATATAATGTGATTATTGGCCGATACCTATCTGTGGCTGATCGATCGGAGCATCCCTAAGAATTATTTGTCATTTACTGTTTGCCCTAATATAACAATACAAATAACCTACATATTTTTACTAAAACATCTTAATACATCATTAAAAAAAAAATACAATGCAGACATTTCCATTACACAAGAGTAGATGCTAAAACTTGCTGATTTGTACTCGGCTTTCGCCAAGATAAGCACAAACTAAGACGTAGCTTTACAGTAACCTATGCTTCTCCATCCATTTACGCTTCTTTCCATATGGTGATGTGAATCTGATGAGAAATCAGTGAACTTTTCTGAGTGAACTAAACGAGCCAATGGCGGGCGGCAGTGGCTCAGTGGTTCATGTGGGTTGTCTACAAACCGGAAGGTTGGTGGTTCAATCCTCGGTTCCACCTGACCAAGTGTCGAGGTGTCCATGAGCAAGACACCTAACCCCAGCTGCTCCCGACGAGCTGGATGGCGCCTTGCATGGCTGCCGTCGCCCGTCGGTGTATGGATGAGTGAGTGAATGGGTGAATGTGAGGCAAATTGTAAAGCGCTTTGGTGGCCATTGGGTCTGTGAAAGCGCTATATAAATGCAGTCCATTTACCATTTACATTGGCGTGCAAGATTTGCATCTAATTAGATTTGCATCTAATTAGATTATCTAACAAGATTATACATCTTGTATAAATATGGAAGCAGATGCAATGCACATTCAGCTTTTCGCTTCGGAGCAGAGCGGTTCAATTGTTCTGCTCTTCAATCATCGGAGTGTGAATTCAGTGAGTGTCTGTGAATGTTTTTCGGGAAGAAGCCTCTATTCCGGTGTTGGTGTGACGGCGCTACAGCAGTGGTCGTG